GCACGGTTGTCGAACTATTTGTAATTCATGGTCCCAAATGTTTAAACCAAGAACGAAACTCCAAAGTAGATACCAAAGTTTATTCCAAATCACAAATTCGACCAAAATACTTTATTACAAATAGACGACCAATGTCGTTCTTCTAATTTATTAGCTCTTGGAGCAAAAAACTGCAAACGAACAACCAAGAGCAACGGGAGTCCAAAATGTCCGCAAAAAATAATTCAAACAAGTTCATAAGTTAAGTAAAACAAATATACCCGAAAAACAGTGAAATTAATGATTATATATATAAAGGTTTGATCAGCAAAATGTCTTCGTTTCTCCCGTAACATTGACATTCTTAACAGCTCTCTTTCCAAACTAGGCATGTTAATTCCTGCAATTAATCGGTCTCTCAGCTGCACATTAAGTTGATCACCAAAATTACATTTGACAGCCTGTTTCTGCAATTCAAGAATGAATTGCTTAACCTTTTGGTCATTTTGACGAATCATCTTATGAAATTTCGCCCTTTCACGGCATTCAAAACCAGGGCACTTTACATGATTCAATAATAACTCCTTAAGCATTGCATAGGGAAGTGAGATAGGTTTTTCTGGATATGCCAAAGTTTTTAATAAGCTGTACGCTTCTTTTCCGATGAATGTCAGGAAATGAGCCACAATTTTATCATCTTTGACATCTTTCCTGATCATACTCCAGATTTCAAACCTTTCCAAATAATCTTCAAAAGCTTCAGAAGTAGAATGAATATCCAACCGTTCCATTACAAGTTCCATCGCGACGCCAATATGATGATTAGAAGTACGTGAATCAAGAACTACAGGATGAGCACAAACGAATGTACTGTATTTAGAATTCGAAATCAAGCATTCAACAACAACAAGAAGTCACTAGTTCATTCAAACACCACATGGGTTCAGACTTACCAGGTGGATAAGTAACTGTTTACAGGTTCTCGAATCAGTTCATCCAGATGAGAGAGCAGAAGCCGTAAAAGAGATTGACTTTGAGAGACTTCCTACGGACCGCACATTGGGATTATTTTGGAATACTATGTGAATAATAAACGTGATGTTAACGAGAGTGGAATCACTATAGGTAGTGCTGTTACTTCGGTTGCTGTTGCTAATGTAGCTTCTTTCAGTACTTCGGATCAAGACGAAATTTGATGTTTGAGCGTGGAGAATGTAGGCGTCGGTGGCAATAGCGTCAGCCAAAGTGACGGCACTACTGAGAGGGCTAACATTCGGTACCCTAGGTGCAATGAGGAGTCATCTAGGCTTAATGGACATGCTGTTGTGTTGAATACGCAGCATGAGGAATCGAGCATGGAATTGTCCACCTGTCGCACTCCACCATCATTGACTTGTACTCTAAGCTTCGGGAAGAGCACTACCAACAGTGATAAGACAGAAGAGGTTAAGAGCATTCCTAGTAAGGAAAGCAACGTTGATCGGGTAGAGTTGGACACTGTGCATTAGTCTAATGGATATCATGAGGTGTACTGCCGCTTGTACAGCTGCGGCTACTAATGATAATGGCATTGATGATACTCCTGCGGGTAATAGTGATCGAGGGAAGTTGAAAGATACTCATCGTCGTCGAAATGGTCGTACGTTACGCTCACATACTGCTACCTAAGCTAAGTAGAATAAGAAACGACATGATGCTACTATTATTAAGAAGCGTAAACTTCGTTCTCTCTCGGATTTTGTAACTAGCAATGGAAATAGTAGTCATCAGAATCGTATTAGTGGTAGCGATAGTGAAGAGACAGAAAGTGTGAGCAGTCCACCTATAGTGACTAGTCGACCAACTTCATCGAACGAACCTTCTAGTGATTTGACGTCATCGGACTCTGCCGCGAATGTTAAGTTGACTGAAGATGCACAAGGTTGTGCAACTGTGACTGTTTCTACTCCGGTTGACTGTCAGTCGAGTGACGAAGGAAAAAAACCACGGTTCTTTTGATCGGGAGTGTTACGGAAGAAATGAAGACATTTGGCTGATTAAAACCTTTGTATAAATATCATTAATTTCACTGTGTTTTTTGGGTATATTTGTTTTACTTAACTTATGAACTTGTTTGATTGATTATTTTCGTACATTTCAGTTTATGTCTGTCTTGGTTTGCTAATTGGGAGTTTTTGCTCCAGGAACCTATAAAATTGAAGACATTTTGGTGGACTATTTGTGAATTGCGAATAAACTTTGTTACCTAACTTTGGGGTTTGGTTCTGTTTTTAATTTGGATTCGTGAATTGCAAATAGATCGACATACTGTACTTCAATAACAGGAAGGAGCAAAACTTGGACGTAACAAACATCCTCTCAACATACGAAACATATCTTTTGGATTGTACACATCTGTTTACATGTTCCACCATCAGTTTGTCTATAGAAATCATCATCAAGCCTGAATTTTATATTGTCGGTACATCAAACGAGTAGTCCTATTGAATAATGTTTTTAGATACAAATATCAAAGTTGTTACACATATTAGTTTTACATAAAATACATGTATCTGACGTTTAAACTATTCTCATCCTTCTGTTTTTCTAACGCTCGCATTCTTACGTAACTACCTTTTGATAATAAAACAATAACCTTCTATATACAAGTTATTGTTACTAGTATATTCAATAGTTCAAACTTATTAGAAATCTTGGATACGTTACACAAAACCTCTTTGTTTTTCATTGTCTTTTACTTGCATATCCAATATCTTTTTCACGAGCTCGTGTAAACTAATTTGATTTCTTCGCGCTCGATTCTTGTTCTTTCGGTACGGTTCCAGGTGTTCGGTAATGTCCAACGAATGGAAGTCTAGCCACTCGACTGTCTAATTCTAGTCAGTTGGCAGTTGGTTATGAGTTTGTATGTCTCGGGATTTGAATGAAAACGTTTGTTTCAGGGCAGTAGGGTATCTGGATACCAGCAACTATTACATTACCAGACCGGAGATCAGTTAGTTGCAATGTGGAGAGTAATAAGGGTAATAAGGATAAAATTCTGATGATAATATGAATGAAATTTCAGAACTAAGTAATATATAGGTGATTTAGTTTAATAATTGGTAGTGATGTTTGTGAGAGAGGACCGAAGTGTAAGCAAGCGAGAGGAAACAGAGATAATAAGCGAGGTAGATTAAGTAAGTGATCTGAGGAGATGGCAATGATAACAACTAGCAGGTCTCAATATATGCATCATAAAAAGCTTGTCCAAGAGATTAAGACTATCGTTGATAAAACTCTTCCATTTGACCATGGACTAGTGAGTGAATGACTAACTATAAATATGATTGTACAGCTCCAGAAAATGATATCGTCAAAAGTAAAAGTTTCTTCACTTAATCCATATCATTTTTACAAATCAATGGATTGTATAGGTGAATGGGAATCAAAGCTCATTATTTCTTGTTGTAAGGAAAGATTTTTCATGTGATCCTAACAATACCACACTAATGACCGGTTAGTTCTGGAAGGAAGAGTTCGCAACACAATGGAATTTGTATGAAACGCATGATTAGTGACAATGGATTGATGTTTTGCAACAGGAACAGTCCAGTTCGATATGATGAACTGATATTTTGCAAATGAACGATTTACGATATGGTTTTCCTATTTTACTGAGTAACTCTGTAATTTACGTTAAATACAATTCGGTTTCCCCACCTGTGCTCTCGTTCACTACATAGTGAATACGACTACTTCGAAATTACCATCAGGAAACACTTGCAATCGATAGTGAATAACTGAAACAGTTGTTACAAAGTTACATGACTCAATTTGTGCATTGTTATCCCTCATTACAACACAACACACACATGTTCGCACTCTTCATTGCACATTGTTGAAATCTCAGCTCAATTCCCGATAATTTTCCGAAAGCACAAAATGCCATGGTATTGACAATAAATCAAACACACAATATTTAAATAATAGCCTAAACATAAAATCACAATACGTTTCGAGAGTCTACTGACACGCATTTTCAAAAGAACTATTGACATATATTAACTCACCCTCGATTATCATCATCTCATTAAATCTATCATACAAAAATACAAAACACTTCACTTCGTCGTTTCAGATTAATCAAAGTCTTTTGATACCAGTCAATAAAATGACGAACGCTCAACAGAAGTTGGAAAGCAGTTGGAAAAGCCATTGAATAATACATTACCCAACTTATTCTCTTTTAAGGATATTCATTCAATATCCTAAGATAATTGTTTGTAAGTTTAATTCTATTGGTCGATTCCTATTGGTCGTCCTAAATATCAACGTCACTTCAAATGGTGTTTCCTAATGGTGGTCCTAACTATCAATCTCACGTACTTCATTGTTATTTCCTATTCAACCTAAATGTATCAATATGCATTATCTGTAACGTTTTATGACATGCACCCGGCCTCAGGTACCTAGTCCGCGATCCTGATTCTCTTCTAGATGCTTGTACAATACATGTTCAACTACATATCAAGTCTTCTTCTTTCACTCAATCGGGGATTGGGACACTCGGATTAGAGAAGCATTCTGTGTCTCTGGATCCCCGATCCTCGCTCTCGTTTTCCGACTAAGGTAAGGTAATAGTTTGAGCACATCAAAATGACGTGTTTATGTGTATGCGTAACATTCTCCTCATCACTGGAACTAATCATTAGAAATCTGCTCATTGTAGTGAAAGAACAGACCAATCACACAAACCAGATGGAAGAACGGTGGATAGGAAACACATATACCAGTGTGCGGATCACATACATCACAACACATCACATTTTGTTCATCATTCGAAGGAACAGACAATATTTATCACCACATCTAGCTATGAACACTGCATCCATCCACAAAACACAATACTCCATTTTCGGGAATATTTCGACACATAATCTTACTCCTCACCTAACAACGTACACTTATAACAATTTCATTATTCATACAAAGACACTCCAGGAACGTTCAACAATCCGGTCTGACAATCTGTCAGTAATTCACTCAAACAAATTGAAGAGATTCACTATTCGCAATGATTGACTCACCAATCTCGACATTTCATATTGTCGAATCCATGATTCTAATTCAATTTGAAAACAGTTAGATTGATCAGAACATTCTCGATTCACATAATCTGACGAGAACTCATCAATTATACATGGTAACTGTATTAAATGTTCAATCAGACTTGAAATAATCCCTTCCAATCTCCTTCTCATAACAACCTCATCAACAGTGATTGCAATTTCATCTGTATTCAGTAGACTACGATTTTTATTGGACTGTGAGAATATTAGAAGAATGTATGGAAGTAACAAATTGATTGTGTTCATGAGACGAATGACAAGTTTCATACGATGATGAATTGAGGTTTGTTTTGATTGAGTTGATGTGATGTGTTTATTACAACTTTCTGTTTCATCAAACGCTTGTGTGACTTGATTTGTGAGAGAAATTGATTGTGAAGGTAGTGTAAATCTAATCTGAAATGAGAGAATATTTTCATTCATATATCATATAAATGAGCTCCACGTGGAGCCCTTCTGTGGCTACTACCGGTCCTAAACCCGGATAAAGGAGGAGGGTTGTGCATGTGATTGGCGACACTGTCCCAATAAAAAACTAAGTCTCTAAAAAGCGCTAACAAGAAACCATAATTTACACCATTTTCACTCTGCCCTGTGAGTTCGATGATCTGCTTTCAGAAACGTTATGACTTCTCATGATGAAAGCAGAGTTTCTTCAGAAGTCAGGAGGCCGATGCTTCTTCTCACAACCGGAGCAGCCATTCTTTTAGGTACATGGAATTTCCGAAGACTACTCCAAAAAGCTGCAGAGGTGAAAAGATACAACCTGAAGGTGCTTGAATTCAGTGAAAGGCATTGGACGCACGTAGGACTATTGAGACTAGGTTCAGGGGAACTGCTTTTATACTCAAGGAGTTGCACTGATGCTGTCCAAACATGCACAAAAGGCACTGATAGGATGGGAATCTCATGGACCCAGGATCGTTAAAGCATCTTTCAAAACGAAGAAAAAGGACATTACAATGAACGGCATCCAATGCTATGCACCTATCAATGACTACAATGACGACGTTAAAGATCAATTCTACGAAAGGCTGCAGTCAATCGTCGACAGATGCTCACCAAAGGATTTGACCATTCTGATGGGAGACCTGAATGCTAAGGTTGGCATGGACAACACTGGATATGAAGACATCATGGGCGACATGGACTGGGAGAAAGGAACGGAAACGGTGAGAGATTTGCAAAGCTATGTGCCTTCAACGAACTGGTCATCGGTGACACAATATTCCCACACAAAGGCATACACAAAGCCAAATGGATTTCACCGGACCACACTACTCAAAACCAAATTGACCATATCTGTATCAACAAAACTTTCGGAAGGACCATGGAGGATGTGAGAACCAGGAGAGGAGCTGATATAGCTTCAGATCATCACTTTCTGATGGCCAAAATGAAACTGAAACTGAAGAAGCACTGGAAGACGGGGCAAACAACATCACAGAAGTTTAATACAGCCTTTCTTCGGGATACCGTAAAACTCAGTCAGTCAGTCAGTCAGTTGCAACGTAGAACTTCGTACGTAAGTACATCAGTTCATGTCGCCATACCACATCAGCACAGAGATATAATTGTCAATTCAAATCCAATAGTAGAAGAGGTAGTAAAGGTATTAGAAGTAATCAGAGAGGTTAGAATTAGAAGATATTATTCACGAAGTATGATGCAATGAGATAAGTTTAGAAAGTAAAAACTTGAGGTGTTGAAGAATCCAGAAGATCAGGATTTGAGAGAACACAAAGAATAAATGCACCTGCGCCATTGCGAACGATTTTGAGCCATGTCATTCAAGGTCTCTAGCCATCGATTATTATTATCTCGCGGACCCCAACTAGGTAGTCGACAATTACCGACATGGCTCAGTCCACTCGTCAATGACTTCATGGATTTCTGCCATGTTTTGGTTTGGCCGCCCCTAGCTTTCTTCCAACCTATTCTTACACTACAAAACAAAGCTCGACGAGGTAGTCCGCGGTTAGGCATACGCAACTCGTGTCCCAACCACCGTAAAACTCAGCGAACCCAGAATAGCCCTCAGCAATAGGTTCCAGGTCTTTCACGATCTACTCAATGGAAAGGAAATTGCCATAGACAACTGTTGGAAAGAGATGAGGGAGGCATTCACGTCAACATGTCAGGAGGCTCTGGGCCACAAGAAGTACAGTCAAAAGGAATCGATCTCTGTTTGTACTCTTGAAAAAATTGAAGAAAGGAGAAATAAGAAGTCTGCAACCACCATCAGCCGAACAAGAGCAGAGAGAGAGAGTCAAGGAACAAGCTGAATACACAGGAGCAAACTGACAAGTGAAGAGGAGCATCGGAGTCAACAAACGAAGATATGTAGAAGGCCTAGCAACGGTGGAGAAGAAAACGGCTGGAGAAGGAAACGTGTGACAATCGTATGATTGGTAGAAGAAGCTTTTTGGAAAATATAGTAAACCAGAGAGATTAGTGGAAAGCAAGGAACTCTAACTAACCCACTCAACATCGAAACAACATCTACGGACCTCCCAATCGATGTTGGTGCACCTACAATTGATGAGATCAGCATGGCCATTAGACAAATCAAGAGCGGCAAAGCAGCAGGACCAGACAACATTCCATCAGAGACAGTGAAAGCAGATGTAGAAGCAACTGAGAAAATATTTCACATCCTCTTCAAGAAGATTTGGGATGAGGAACAAGTACCATCAGATTGGAAAGAAGGATACCTGATCAAAATACCAAAGAAACGCGATCTTAGCAAGCGTGAAAACTACAGAAGCATCACTGTTCTCCCAAAACCGGGCAAACTCTTCAACAGGTTATTGGTAAACAGAATGAAGGACTTCACAGACGCCCAACTTCGAGATCAACAGGGTGGATTTCGTAAGGACTGATCGTGTACTGACCAAATTGCTACATTACGGATCATTTTGGAACAATCAATTGAATGGAACTCACCAATCTACATCAACTTCATCGACTACGAGAAAGCATTCGATAGTGTGGATAGGAAAACACTGTGGAGGCTTCTTTGACACTACGGCGTGCCTGAGAACATAGTCAACATCATATGGAATTCTTATGATGGTGTGCACGGAGGACAGCTGACAGACTCGTTCGAGGTGAAGACCGGTGTCAGGCATGGTTGCTTACTCTCACCCTTTCTCTTTCTCCTGGTGACCGACTGGATTATGAAGACATCTACATCTGGAGGTAAACACGGTATCCAATGGACAGCTAGGATTCTGCTGGGTGATTTGGACTTCTCAGATAATCTGGCTCTTCTATTGCACACGGAACAACAAATTCAAGAGAAGACGACCAGTGTAGCAGCAGCCGGTCTCAATATACACAAAGGGAAAAGCAAGATTCTCCGAAACAACACAACAAAGTCCAACCAAGTAGGTCTTGATGGAGATGCCTTGGAGGACACAAAACTCTTTACATCTGTGGGACGCATTATTGACAGAAAAGGTCGACCTGATGCAGATGTGAAGGCGCGGATCGGGAAAGCAAGGGTTGCGTTTCCATAATTCAACAACATCTGCAACTGGAAACAAATATCAATCAACACCGAAATCACAATTTTTAATACAAATGTCAATACAGTTCTACTGTATGGAGCGGAAACTTGGAGAACTACCAAAGCGATCATCCAGAACATAAAAGTATTCATCAAGAGTTGTCTACGCAAAATACTTCGGATTCATTGGCTAGACACTATCAGCAACAACCTACTGTGGGAGAGAACAAACCAGATTCCTGCAGTGGAGGAGGAAATCAGGAAGAAGCGGTTGAATCGGATAGGACACACAGTGAGGAAGTCATCCAACTGCGTCACAAGACAAGCCTTCGTTTTGAACCCTCAAGGTGAAAGGAAAAGAGGAAGGCCAAAGAACACACTACGCCGAGAAATACAGAAATATATGAGAAAGATGAACAAAAACAGGACAGAGTTGGAAATCGAAACTCAGTACAAAGTAGTTTGGAGAATGATGGTCATCGGCCTTTGCTCCATTGGGGGGGGGTGGCAGACGTAGGTAAATAAGTAAGTAATCATTTAAATGGTGACTGACTAGTGTGTACTGTGATTGTAGGTTGTCAATGAATAAACACACATTATTATGAAGTGAGGTTGTTGTTTTTTGGAAAAGAAGAAGTAACAAACAGGAGAATATTTCTATGAATAAACTATAGTTGTTGAATTTTTATTGCTAGTTTTGTGTTAATAATACAAACTTTACAATGTACGAAATAGGAATAAGAAATTCTGTCAACTACTAACTCAGTGTACTATATTTGTAATCATATCTCATCATTTACTAAACAAGACAATGAAATCTCCTTACATAATAACTCCTAGTAACATCATGACTGTTATAAATCTTCTTGTCAAATGGTTTGTTTTTTCTCAATAGACAGCAGAATATGATTTCCCCATATATTTCATGACTAAATGAATCAGGATCGCGATATGTATTTATTTCTAACTAAGGCATATCGTAATTTTGTTTTATAAGTGCATTGTTAAGTAAACACCAATCCGTAACATAACTAATTAAAATGAATTTCATTGTAATTATTTTTTAAATCTTTGAGTTTCTACTATCTTCCATTCTATGTGATAACAATAAATAATTCTCTCTCTTTTGCATTGTTCAAGTCAATCAAAAAAAATTTAAAAACTGAAAGTAACCAATAGGAAATGATGTCCTTTTGATCACGTGATTTATAGACTTTGTATATACTGCATTCTGATTGGTCAATTGAGTTTTTTTAGGTTGAATTGAACCGCTGAATTGAAACAAACCAGAAATTTCACTATTGATAAGCAAACAATGTTGTATAAAAATGGTTGTGCAATTGAACGAATTCTAAAATGTAAATTATCCAAAAATGATTTTGATAATTTATTATTCTGGTCTGGTTCTATCTGTCATTTGGATGGCGAAAAACCGGCATTTAAACATTTTATTATTGGACAAGAATGGTTATGTACAATGAATCATCCACAGAGAGAATTGGAAAGTAAAATATATTTCAATGTATGATATAGATAAGCTAATGAATGGATGTGATTTTAATTTTCTCTTTAAGTCAATTTTAGATATTCAATGTATTGGTGATTTAGCTATGTTTTTAACTTGTCAAATTACACGAAATTATAATCATATATGCGTTGAGTTTGTTAGTAAATTGACTGGACAACATCAGAAAGCTGTCAAATCTATTAAGAAAACTAAACGAAGAGTAAAAGTAAGTTTTATTGAGGACAAGTGAATTGTTAATTTTTTTTTTAATGATGGGAAGGATTTTTATAGCTTTAGGCTGATTGTTTTTAATGTTGTTAAGTAGTTAAAGTCAAATAGTTTGATAGAACAATGTTCATTGTTATTCTGAATGTAGTCACTGGAATCTTTGCTCAAGAACCAAATCAATTCATTTAAATGACTTTGCTCAGAACTGATCGTTTTCGTGTGTTTCACCATTTATTTCTTCTGACCCTCAAGATCGATTGATTCCTGACTATTTGGCTAAATAACGTATGGATTGATAGATTGAACCTAGAATAATGCGTTTGATGATTTCCAATTGATTTCTACATCATATTTGCAGAAATTCTATCATTCTGAGAATTTTCTCAATCAAGAATGTCAAAGTTTTGATAGTCTGATTCTGATCATTTATTAGTCGTGGTATTTCACTGGTAGCGTATAAGTGAATGAGATGTCAACTTTGTTCAGTGTATGGTTTTCGGAGGTCAGTTCCGTTTTCTTCTCATGTTGTTGTCATTTTTCAGTCTGCGAAAAATTGAAATGAAGTGATTTTGTTTGGTTTTGCCATCAATATTGATGTGAAAGGGTTTTCAAAATCTTCGTACATATTTATGGAATGTTTACCAGACAGGTTAGGACTATCTGTTGACGAGTATTTGATTTTGATATTATTTGAGAACAAAAATGAAAGTTCCACAATGAAAGAATAGAAATCATACAACCTGAATATATATATATATATATATATATATATATATATATATATATATCAGTCAGTCAGATGCAACGTGGAACTTTGTACATAAGTACATCAGTTCATGTTGCCATACCACATCAGCACAGAGATGTAATTGTCAATTCAAATCCAGTAGTAGAACAGGCAGTAAAGGTTTCAGAAGTAATCGGAGAGGTTAGGAGTAGAAGATATTATTCAAGCAGTATGATTCAGTGAGATAAGTTTAGAAAGTAAAAAACTAGAGGGGTTGAAGAATCCAGAAGATTAGCATTTGAGAGAACACAAATGATAAGTGCACTGGCGCCATTGTGAACGATTTTGAGCCATGTCATTCAAGGTCTCTAACCATCGATTATTATCATCTCGCGGACCCCAACCAGGTAGTCGACAATTACCGACATGTCTCAGTCCACTTGTCAATGACTTCATGGATTTATGCCATGTTTTGGTTTGGCCGCCCCTAACTTTCTTCCAACCTACTTCCGCACTACAAAACAAGGCTCGACGAGGCAGTCGGTGGTTAGGCATACGCAACACATGTCCCAACCACCTCAACTGATGAAGTTTCACCACTTCATCTATTGATCTGCCATTCTTACCTAGCACCCGTTTCCTAATAACAGCGTTGCTCACTCGGGTGTCCCACGATGTACGAGCAATGCTTCGAAGACACCTATGATCGAAAACCAATAACCGACGAATATCTTCTACTCTCATTGGCCATGTTTCACAGCCATAAAGTAAGACGGAGCGAACCACTGCGCAATACACTCATCCTTTAGTCAGCGAACGGATATCTCGCCTACGCCATAAGTGACGCAGGTTGGTAAAAGCCAATCGAGCCTTCTGTATCCGAGCTGAGATTTCGTCAGTCACCAGGCTATCGGCACTGATGAGACTCCCCAGATAAGTGAAGCGGTCTACACGTTCGACCACTTCACTCCCTATCACTAGTTCAGGTGCCGATGCGACCCAATTTTGAAGCAACATTTTGCACTTCGAGGGTGAGAACCGCATCACGAACATGCTTGCATTGTTGCTTAGGGTAGTCAGAAGACTCTGCATTTTGTCAGCCTCTTCACCAAGTAGGACAATGTCATCGGCATATTCTAAGTCAATAAGCGAGCCACCTGGTAGAAGGTCTACTCCAGAAAATTCAGACGAGGATAATGTTATGTCTAGGAGCATATCTATGATAAAATTAAACAAGAATGGAGAAAGTGGACATCCGTGACGGACACCACTTGATGTAGAGAATATATATATATATCAAAATATGTTTCATCTTTAGTGGTGGTAACCTAGTCGAGATTGAATATGATCAGCAGTAAATACTAATTTACTAGCTCGTCAATGAACTATCAGTAAATCCAGTGTAAAGAATATATATATATATATTTGAAGGAGAAAGTTGACGACATACGAAGCAGTAAGTTATGAATGATGACAACAATGCAAAAAACGGAAAGTTGCGCGTAAATAAATGTTTTTAGTACAGTTAAACAAAACGAATACAATAATAAGTGTTTCCTTTTCACCAATTGCATTTTCTTCGTAGAATTATTCCACTATAAGTCTATTGTCTACAGTTCATTATCACGTTTTAATTATCTAAAGTAAAGTATATCAGAAAAGATTCAAAGTTTGGATGTGAATCACACATTTCAAATCATCAATCAATCATTGTTAGACCAACATTAGAAACATGGAAGCACTGAAAGACGGCCGTTTCGTCCTGGTATGGGACTCATCAGCAGTGCGCATCCATGACTCGTGTTCCTCACAGGGTTCGAACACGGGACCTTCGGCATTGTAGGCGAACGCCTTTCAAATGTGTAAAAACGCAAACCTCCAAAACTCTGCCCCAAAATATCGTAACAATGCTCACTAGTGACTAGCTTAGTGAGGAAATTCTCGGAGTTCTAGTTGAGAAGACGTGATCAATGGAGTTCAACCCTGTCGGGTGTAGGCAGTAACTACCAAAGACAAATGGGTGAGGTCGAGCAAAATCCCTAGATCAATCAGAGTTAGACATTAACACCGTTGGATGCCGGCCCAGTGGTCCGATGGTAAGGCGTTCGCCTACAATGCCGAAGGTCCCGTGTTCGAACCCTGTGAGGAACACGAGTCATGGATGCGCACTGCTGATGAGTCCCATACCAGGACGAAACGGCCATCTTTCAGTGCTTCCATGTTTCTAATGGTGGTCTAACAATGATTGATTGATGGTTTCAAATGTGTAAAAACGCAAACCTCCAAAATTCTGCCCCAAACTGTGAATTTATTGAAGGACAAAGCTATCAATGGTGTATCATTCCGAAGAGACGTGATTTACTGCTGTGTATGTAGTTAAATGAATAATAATTGTGGATTATCTTTAGTGAATTTTTAATTTACTGTGAATTCTAACTGGTTAGAATGTTCTAGTTAATGTTGTTTGTTCAGGTAGAAGACATAAGTCTCTGTAAAATTCCTAGATAATCCTTCTTAACATAATTTCTTAATTATTTCTTGGAAATTGATTACCTTTAATCATAAAACATCAATAGTTGAATTTAAATAGACAACTTATTACTTTAAATGAAAAAGTATAATTTATATTGAGTGAAGTATTTTACTCATCATAATGTCTTTGTCAAAATCAAGCATAGTCGCTTGCCATTGGATGGTGGTCCAGTGGTTCAGAGGTTAGACGTTCACGCGCACGGCCTAAGGTCATGGGTTCGAATTCTGCGGGCAGAAGGGGTGGTGGATGCGCGTAGCTGGTGAGACACGAAATGTCCGTTGAGTCCTTTCAGGTTTCTAATGGCGGCCCAACGTCGACTGATTCTGGGTTTTAGTAATAATAAAAATTCATTGGTTAACGTGTTCAACATACACCTTAGAAGCCACAATTTTCATCATCGCAGGGCAACCAACTAATGAATTTTGATGACGTGAATCACAAACAAAATGAAATATTCATTGATTTTTCTGTGAAATTCAATATGACCTTATAAGACAATTGAATTTTGCTTTAAAAAAATATCCATTTCTATTAGTTTTATTGTTCAGCAAGTATTTTGATCGTGAATTATATTCGAATGAACGAAGAAGTTCAAAACGTGCTATCTTCAGTTATCAATTTACAGAATATATGCCTCCTTCGAATCTACTGTATACCTGGATTCAACACTTGTCTCTTCAGTAGTAAGTTCTGGAAGACGACAATCCGCTACTTACAAGCCATGTTATTATTAGTAGTATGATTCATACATTATGTTAGGGAAACAACTTGTTCAGTGCTTTCTAGTTTTAATGATTTCCTAAGTAAGCTCATTGCATAATAATAGTAAACTACGAGAAATTTTTTAAATCAATTTATAACCGAATTCATAGTAGAATTTTACATTTTCATCATAGTTTACGCAAAACTTAGAAACAGAGAACAAGGAATATACTTTCAAAGATAATAAGAACACTGGTCAACCAGTTGGGATATTATCCTCAAAAGTTGAGTAAGTTATTTAGGCATTTATCTAATCTGAAAGTTAATATCGAGTTATATTATTCAAATAGTTGATTGTTTACTGTTTACTCTTTTTGTGGTGCGCGCTACTTATAAGTAGTATATGACGCGAGTGTAAACGTAATGTCTGGCAGCAGAAGATGGGAGAAGATCAAGAAAGGAAAAGTGGGAACTTAATGGAATTTGTATGAAACGCATGAATAAGTGAAATGTCATAAAATGGATTGATGATGGGTTGAAAATTTGCAAACTAACGGTTACGATATGGTTTTCCAATTTTACTGAGTAACTCTGTAATTTTCGTTAAATACAATTCGGTTGCCCTCACCTGTTTTCTCCTTCACTACAATATGAACTTGATTTGACAAGGCCAAGCCTCGATATATTTACAGACGAAAATTAGTTGTATAAAGCTTCTTCAATTCCAACCAAAGATTCACTCTGAGGTAAATTTTTTGATAAAGTAAGATTAACTGGAGTAACACTGAATTCAAAGTCCTGAACAATTATGTCATTTCAATTTAAGATAATTTAGCTGTACGTGAAACAAATGTAATGTTTGGTGTATTCTTACTTGAAAAGTCATTTAAAACAGTATTCATAACAGGAATATGAAAGTGTAGTTATCAATAGATTTTTGAAATAATAGAAAAACATTTGTAGCTCAGGTAAATGATTATGATGGAGTTTCATTCTCTGAACTGGATATTTTGATTGTGGAGTTTTCATAGTTCCTCTGAACAACAGCATCATATTCAAGGTTTCTGACAACCAATTGTGGTTGGTGTGAAGGGGCCCGGGGCGGAGTTGGCGGTGCTGGGGACGCTGCGGGGAGGTGAGGCGAGGGCGGTATACGACAGCCTGGACGGTGCCGCCGGGAAGACGGCGTGGGAGACGGTCGCCGGGCGGCTGAAGACGGAGTTCGACAGCCCGGTGGACAGGGAGGAGGCGCCGCAGAGGTTCCGGTTGTCCATCGATTGTGACCCACTGGTGCTGGCTGTGGAGCTCACGATGTTGCTGCGCCGTACGCTGCCGAGTATGGATGGGGAGTCGGGGGCACAGGTGTTGGCATCGCAATTTATCGAGAGTAGGCCTGCCGCCGTGTCCCAGCAGCGGGAACTAGTAAACGTTACACGTTGGATAGATGCCGTACCCATTCCAGACCAGCCGGGCAAGAACAATGACCGAAGTAGTAATCCGGCATATTGTAGCGCGTCACGGAATACGGAAGGTGATATTAACTGACCAGGGTCCCTGTTTTGAAAGTGACGACAACTTATTAAGAGGGGAGACGAGTGTGGTGTGAGATATTTATAAGTAGTATATGACGTGAGTGAAAAAACGTAATGTCTGGCAGCAGAAGATGGGGGAAGATCAAGAAAGGAAGAGTTCACAACACAATGGAATTTGTATGAAATAGCATGAATAGTGACAATGGATTAGATGTTTTGCAACAGAAACAGTCCAGTTCGATAATATGATGAACTGATATTTTGCAAATTAACGATTTACGATATGGTTTTCCGATTTTACTGAGTAACTCTGTAATTTTCGTTAAATGCAATTCGGTTGCCCTCACCTGTGTTCTCCTTCAGTACACTATCTGTAGTTTGTGCTGATGATGTTGTGCATTGATGAACATTGATAAAAACTCCACAACCAAAACATCCAACTTAGAGAACGAAACTCTATCATAATTCATAAATATATTCAGAAATGTGACCAGAGATAAAAGAGTCTGACAAAACTTCATACTGTATTTATATAGTCCCATGTTTTTTATCAAGTTCATTTAGTGAAAATTATCCTAATGATCAAATGTTCAATGTCATACGAAAATTACACATTTATTTAACTGATACAAATTTTATTGGATATGATATTTTACAAAAAGCAATGAATGCATGGTATCATTCAAATAAACAATTTCAAAATATGATTAAAAATCTTATACATTTAAATAAATTTCAACTTCCACTAACTGTATGCACAAATCAACAATCAACTAATGAAAATATTGAAACATTGATCAATAATGTAACTAGAAAAAATACTATAGTTTATTCAACAACTGCTATCAATGAAGATTTACAACAGTTAATGAGTATGTTTAAACCATATTTTAAAAATAACATCAAAGCATCTACCGGGATAAATCATATTCAATTGAATAAAACAATTGATCATTGGATAAGTCAAAGTAAACTGATGATGAATGAGTCATTCAATGAAAAATCGATAAAGTGTGATTTAATTTCTTCGATCGATCAACAACTCAGTCAATTGCATGATAATTTATTACAAAATCTTATCAATTATCTTTTGACTGATCATGTTGTAAAAATATTATTAAATAAAGCAATTACAATTATGGAGATACTTGTAACACAAGTAAGATTTTGAGAAAATGATTTGCCGACAGTTAATTTATTATGTTGTTAATCCTGTAGAATTCCACTTGGTGCCTGTCTAGGGTTACTGCTGATCTCAAACATGGATAAAACAAGGGTTCGGCATTAGGTTAGCGACCCTATCAAGTAGAAATCCAACTCGCTCAAAATACGTTGACCAGGCTCGCTTGGTTTTTGCCAACTTGCGTCACTTATGGCGTAGGCAAGATATCCGTTTGATGACTAAAGGACGAGTGTACTGGGCAGTAGTTCGCTCCGTCTTACTTTATGGTTGTGAAACATGGCCAGTGAGAGTAGAAGATATTCGTAGGTTACTAGTTTTCGGTCATAGGTGTCTTCGAAGCATTTCTCGTATATCCTGGGACACCCGAGTGAGAAAAGCTATTATTAGGAATCTAGTGCTAGGTAAGAGTAGCAGATCAATCGATGAAGTAATGAAATTTCATCAGTTGAGGTGGTTAAGACATGTGCTGCGTATGTCTAACCACCGACTGCCTCGACGAGCTTTGTTTTGTAGTGTAGGAATAGGTTGGAAGAAAGCTAGGGGCGGCCAAATCAAAACATGGCAGAAATCCATGAAGTCACTGACAAGTGGACCAAGTCATGGTAGATGTAGGCTATCTGGTTGATGTCCGGGAGACGAAAGTCACCGATGGTTGGAGAGCTTGAACGACATGGCTAGGAATCGTTTGCAATGGCACCGGTGCATTTATTCTTTGTGTTCTCTCAAATCCTAATCTTCTGGATTCTTCAACACCTCTAGTTTTGACTTTCTAAACTTTTCTCACTGAATCATACTTCGTGAATAATATCTTTTAATCCTAACCTCTCCGATTACTCCTAATACCTTTACTACCTCTTCTACTATCGGATTTGAATTGGCAATTATATCTCTGTGCTGATGTTGTATGGCAACATGAACTGATGTACTTAGGTACGAAGTTCTACGATGCGACTGACTGACTGACGTTGACCAGAAAAATAATTCACTGATCGGCGGCCTATGATTCATTAGGAATAACAGGCGTAAGTAAGTAAGGAAGTTAATCCTGTAGAGTGGAAAAATGGCGTTCCGACTAAAGAAGGCATCCAATTTCCTTGTTATAATCAATATGTTTCATTATATTTGTTCATACTTAGCTTCTATTTAGAGCTAGAATCTAACAGCAGACTAAAGCAATCATCATCCTGTTTTACTCAAATAAATGACACAGAAAGCGCCAGTTCTCTCAAAATTGTAGTTAGGATGAAGTCTAGGTCTAAGGTTTCTTGTTGATTGCTTCCAACCAGCTGATCGTAAACAAGGCGGATAATGATGTCCGATCATTTCGACTGATGGTCACATTACAACTTGATCAGTGGAATATTACTGACACGAAAAAATTGACAGTACAGAAAACAGTTTCTACGCAATGACTGATAAGTAGATGTCAGAAGAAAATTTGTAGAATTCACTATTTGCATTTTGTATATTACAATGAAAACACAATCTAGGGGTCGATTTATTTGACCTAGAAGTATATATGGACGTGAGATTTCAGAAGGAACATTTCCCTATTTCTTACTTCTTTTACAAAAACTAATTTCATAGTGAGTGAGTGGTCATTCATTGACAATCCACAATCACAGTACAAATCAATCAGTCGCCATTTAAATAATCTCTCATTTCAGATTAGATTTACACTACCTTCACAATCAATTTATCTTGCAAGCCAAGTCACACAGGAGTTTGATGAACCAGAAAGTTGTGATAAACACATCACATCAACTCATTCGAAACAAACATCAAGTGATCATCGTATGAAACTTGTCATTCGTCTCATGAACACAATCAATTTGTTACTTCCATACATTCTACCAATATTCTCACAATCAAATAGAAATCATCGTCTATTGAATACACATGAAATTGCAATCACTGTTGATGAGGTTGTTATGAGAAGGAGATTGGAAGGAATTATTTCATGTCTGATTGAACATTTAATACAGTTGCCATCTATAATTGATGAGTTCTCATCAGATTATGTGAATCGAGAATGTCCTGGCCAATCTAACTGTTTTCAAATTGAATTGGAATCATGGATTCGACAATATGAAATGTCGAGATTGGTGAGTGATTATTAATTGTGAATAGTGAATCTCTTCGATTTGTTTGAGTGACTTATTGATAGATTGTGAGAATGGACTGTTCAACATGTTAGAGTGTATTTTGTAAGTAAGTAAGTAAGTTGTTTTGAGTGTGCGTTTTTATGTGAGGAGTAAGATTATGCGTCAAAATATTCCCGACATGGAGTATTGCGTTTTGTGGATGGATGCAGCGTTCATAGTCAGATGTCAGATGTGGTGATAAATATTGTCTGTTCCTTCGAATGATGAACAAAATGTGATGTGTTGTGATGTATGTGATCAGCACACTGGTATATATGTTTCCTATCTGCAGTTCTTCTACTTGGTTTTGTGTGATTGATCTGTTCTTTCACTATGATGAGCAGATTTCTAATGATTAGTTCCAGTGATGAGGAGAATGTTACGCATGCAAGAAAACACGTCATTTTGATGTGCTTGAACTAATTACCTTACCTTATTCGTAAAATGAGGTCGAGGATTGAGGATCGGGCGACACGGTATGCTACTCTAATCCGAGTGTCCAAAACCCTTATTGAGTAAAAGAAGTATACTTGATATGAAGTACAACATGTATTATACAAGCATCCAGAAAAGAATCAGGCTCGCGGACTAGGTACCTGGGTGCGTGTCGGGGTCATAAAACGTTACAGATAATGCATATTGATCCATTTAGGTTGAATAGGAAATAACAATGAAGTACGTGAGATTGATAGGTAGTACCACCAATAGAAAACACCAATTGAAGTGACTCTGATAGTTCGGACGACCAATAGGAATTGACCAATAGAATTAAACTTACAAACAATTATCCTAGGTATTGTGCGCGAACGCCCTAACAGTTAGACCATTGAGCCGGTATCTAACGGTGTTAATGTCTAACGTGACCAGTGAAGTTCAACCTGTTCGGGTGTAGGCAGTGTCTACCGAAGACTGTGTATGAGGTTGCGCAACTCCGTGAATTTGATCAAGTTAGACAATAACGCAGTTAGATACCTGCTCAGTGGGCTAGCGGTTAGGGCGTTCGCGCACAATACCGAGGGTCCTGTGTTCTGATCCTGCCGGGTGCTGGAGTGGTGGATGTGCACTGCTGAGGAGTCCCATACCAGGACGAAACGGGCGTCCTCCAGTGCTTCCAGGTTTCTAATGGTGGTCTAACATTGATCGATTCATGGTTTCAAAAATGTGTAACTTAATAATCTTCACAACCACGTAATGCAAATTATTTTAGGATATTGAATGAATATCCTTAAAAGAATAAGTTGGGTAATGTATTATTCAATGGCTTTTCCAACTGCTTTCCAACTTCTGTTGTACGTCCATCATTTTACTGATTGGTATCAAAAGACTTTGATTAATCTGAAACGATGAAGTTCAGTGAATTGTATTTTTGCATGATAGTTTTAATGAGCTGATGATCATCTAGGGTGGGTCAATATTTGTCAATAGTTCTTTTGAAAATGCGCGTCAGTAGACTGTCGAAACATGCTGTGATATCATGTTTAGGCTATCATTTATTCTCAATACCATGGTATTGTGTGCTTTCGGAAAATTATTTGGAATTGAGCTGAGATTTCAGCAATGTGCAATGAAGAGTGCGAATGGGTGTGTGTTGTGTTGTTATGAGGGATTTCAATACACAAAATAAGTCATGTAACTTTGTAACAATTGTTTGCGTTATTCACCATAGATTGCAAGTGTTTCCTGATGGTAATTTCGAAGTAGTCGTATTCACTATACTGACTATGAATTTGACCAATTGTTCAATCTATAATCTAGTAGTTATGAGTAGACTAGCAATCAAGTGAGAGAGTAAGCCATGATATAGTATATTGTAGTTGGAAGGAGGGATGCAATAATCTATGATGGAATTGTTAACTGACGGGAGCATCAGAGTTCGTCAGAATTGCTTGTTTTGTTCAGGTAGTGAAAGGTGTTTCGACAAGTGTAAAGATTGTAGTGTAGGGTAATGAAGTTGTATACTGTTTATACAACTGTAGCACTTTCTTAAACTTTGTACTTGCTTTATCGCAACAGGCTGAACACAAACGTCTGCCGATAATCTCAGTTAGTTACTTTTTCATTCTCTTAACATTAGTTAGTTTAACGTTTGTTGTAGAATCGGTGCCAGTACTTCATCATTCTTCAAACCCCCCCCCTGCTAAATCTTTCTTGGACTGTTTTAAGTGGATACAATCATCAGTTAGTGTAATAAAGTTTGAATGTTATGGCGTAATCATTTGGTTGACTAGTTGTACCATTTAATGACAATTACCCTTAAATTGTTCTTTCAAATAGCAATAAGTTAATTTACACATTTTTGAAACTATGAATCGATCAATGTTAGACCATCATTAGAAACCTGGAAGCACTGAAAGACGGCCGTTTCGTCCTGATATGGGACTCCTCAGCAGTGCGCATCCACGACTCCTGCACCCCGCAGGATTCGAACCCAGGGCCTTCGGTATTGTGCGCGAACGCCTAACCCTCGGACCACTGAGCCAGGTTTCTAATGGTGGTCTAACATTGATCGATTCATGGTTTCAAAAATGTGTAACTTAACAATCTTCACAACCCCGTAATGCAAATGAGTTAATTGTCCTTGCTAATCGGACAAACATTAAAGAATCGAGACAACTAGTTGAAAACTCAATTTTACTATTTATAATCTGAATTATGCGAAAATCATTTACGACGAAATCTATTACATTCTTCAACCGTTGTCCACGAAACTTGATACGGTAAGCTACTTAGTTCAACTTTGAGACTAGTGGTGCATTAGTACGGTTCTGAATGAACGGCCTTCACATAGAGTATAAAAACTATCCTACTGTCGGATAGACTTGCAAGTCTAATCAATCACGACACTATTTGATCTATTCCCTAACCCTAACCGTTAAAAGACAGATCAATAAATACATACTTTGCAAGACCACAACTGACAAGTATTTGGCAAAACACAATTATGATCAAACTACCTGTTTAAGGTAGAAAAATCAAGTGCAGGAATTACGTTTAACTTAAAATAATTTTGGTCCTACACATGATCTTAGCTCAGAGAGCTCTGAGTACAACGATGAATCGTACATCAACTAAAAGCTTAAGATTTATCACTGTCTCTTTATTTCCCCATAAAAAAAAGATTGTTCTGAATTATTTATAACTAAAATCAATACTGAGACAATGCAGATTTTTTAATCCAAATCAAGAAATGTCACATGATTTCAACGTAATTTATGCATTAAAGAAAGTGCAAATTATTATATCTGTATTAGTTCATTACTTTGTCAATGTACTTCAACAAAATCAAAATTTGTACTATTGACACATATCTTTAAGGCTAGTTTTTTTTTATATCTGACAGATATGATTTGAACGAACCATTGATGAAATCTGTTAGTACACAAGTTAGAAAAATGAACCATAGGAGAATGAGTAACTTTACGTTGTATTTTCAGCAGCCTCTGCAGCAGTAGGTCTCAACATACATAAAGGAAAAAGCGAAATTCTCCGATGCAAAACAACATGCACCAACCAAATCGCTCTTGATGGAGATGCCTTGGAGGACGTTAACACCTTTACATATCTTGGCAGCATCATCGACAACCAAGGTGGATGCGATGCAGATGTGAGGGTGCGGATTGGCAAAGAAAGGGCTGCATTTCTACAGTTGAAAAATATCTGGAACTCCAAACAACTTTCAACCAAAACCAAAATCACGATTTTCAATACAAATGTCAAGACAGTTCTACTGTATGGAGGGGAAACTTGGAGAGCTACGAAAGGCGTCATCCATAAGATACAAGTGTTTATTAACAACTGTCTACGCAAAATACTTCGGATTCATTGGCCAGACACCATCAGCAACGACGAACTGTGGGAGAGAACAAACCAGATTCCAGTGGATGAGGAAATCAGGAAGAAGCGGTGGAATCAGATAGCACACACAGTGAGGAAATCACCCATCTGCGTCACAAGAAAAGCCTTTATTTGGAACCCTCAAGGTAAAAGGAAAAGAGGAAGGCCAAGGAACACATTACGCCGAGAAATAGAGAAAGATATGAGAGGAATGAACAAACATTGGACAGAACTGGAGAGGGAAGCCCAGGATACAGAGTTGGTTGGAGAAAACTGGTGGTTGGCCTATGCCCGATTGGGGGTAACAGGCGTAAGTAAGTAAGTAAGTAAGTAAGTACGTTATGTATTTGAAGAAATACCTGCGATTAACACTGTTGAAAAATCTCTCTCTCTAAGGACAAATAAGGCTTTCTGGCACTTCGTTATTCACTATAGTTTTCAAGTTAAAATGATTTAGCGAAGTAAACTGTTTTCAAACATTAATGTTAAACAATCTTTATCACTTTTTTGTAAATTTTTATTCTATTTAGGATATAATGTGTAAAGAATTTGTATGCATTGATCAATGGCTACCAGAAATATTGAACAACACAAATTCATGCCCAACCACAACATCATCAATTCGGAATATTTTGAAAAATCACACTGAACTAGGTGTTTTTATACATCAATTAAATTATCAATTGAATTGTTTCTTTTCTGAACTTATTTCAAATACATCTAATGATGTATCAGTTAAATTTCCCACCACCAATATGATAACCAATCATCAATCAAATATTTGTCAAATTGATTGGATTAAACAACTCATTTATCATGTAATAATCAAATCGAAAAAATCAATGATCTATTTCATAGATTGCCTTTTAGCGCATGCATGTACAACATTCAATTTAATCAAGTCAAAAAAACTGACCAATCATCATGATGACATTATCAAAAATGGAGTTTGGTTTAATTTGAACATTGAACAAAAAGAAGAATATGTCGCCACAATCATTCGTTCATTATTCATCATTGATTGGTTCACAGAACATTATTCAAATTTTTTAATTGAATCACTCATAAAAGATGTAGGATTTAAAGATTTACTTTATCTATTTAATACAAAAAATATTATTTCTTTAGTTGATAAATTATCTGAAATAACTACATTGAATTTAGTACAAATTAAATTAGTCAAATGTGTACTCATTGCATTAGTGAGTCGATTATATGAGAAATTTCAAATGAAAAGTTCAATTTCATGATGAGTTAAACTACTTAAATATGAAGAGTAATGATAATGTGCACTATGAGAATGTATAAATGTTTTAATCACCTATTTATTGTAGAGTAATTATTTACACTTAAACAATGCGTTATATATCTATCTATTGATCGTGGGGATGTATACTTGTAAATACATTCATCTATTGATTAATTGATGTGAAATCCTTTACTCTTGTTAGTTCAGTGTATATCATATAAATCTGGCTGCATGTACCTACCTCATTTTGTTTGATTTTCAAGTTGAAATAAAAATCTATGCTTACAATCTTGGTGTTTTCATCATCATTTGTCATATTGGTTTGAAAAAAGAAATTGAACCACAGAGTGACATACTGAGAAAAAACAACAAATTAATAGTCTTTCACAAGGTAAAAAAGAGTACAGTCCCAAACATCATGGTGACTGGCAATTGAAATTGAAAAAGGAACTTATTGAAATAGTCAGTCAGTCACCTACAACGTAGAATTTCGTACGTACGAACATCACTTCGAGTTGCCATATCACATTAACACAAAGAGATTAAATTGTCGATTGAAATCCCATAGTAGTAGGAGTATTGGTGGTAATCGAAAAGATTTGGGATCAAGGATTTCATCTGAGAAGTATATCCAAGTGGAATCGATTTTAAACCATGTCATTCAAAGTCTCTAACCCTCAGGTACTATTGTCTCACGGACCCTAACTAAGTAGTCTACATCTAACAATATGGCTCAGTCCAGTTGTTAATCACTTCATGAATTCGTGTCATGTATTGGTCTGGTCGCCCCTAGCTGTCTTCCAGCCTACCCGAACATCTAACGTCGCATGTCGAGACAGTCGGAGGTTGGGCATGCATAACACGTCCCAACCACCTCGACTGATGAAGTTTTACTGCATCTATTCATCTGCCATCCTTACCTAGTACCCTTATCCTAATACCATCATCGTTTACTCGGTGGTTCCAGAACATACTAGCAATGCTTCTAAAGCAACGATGATCAAATACTAGTAACAAACGAATATCCTTTGCTTTTGAAGGCCATGTTTCCTACCCATATGGTAGAACAGAACTAAACATTATATTGAATAAAACCATCATTATTAATAATGGCTTTGAAGTTGTGATTAATTCGAAATGATTATTTAGATGCTTTCTACATTTATTAGTCTTTTTTCTGGAGATTTCGGTTCTTCATGTTAATATTCTGTTTATTTGACACTTAACTAATTTAATATTATATTGCAGTATTCCTATTTTAAGAATTTATTGTAGAGTAAGCTCGTGTTTCCCAAGATGAATCGAACTTAAGCTTGAAACAGTATGCTGTTTCATAAGCGTAATCAACTCCGTCTGGAGCCCCTGTGGGGCTACTGCCGATCCCAAGCTCGGATAGGGCACGAGGGTTGGGCATGGGATTAGCGACCCCATCCCCCGTAGAAAACTAACTTGCTAATCAGAAAAAGGAGTGATCACTTTCACAGGTTCTAACAAAAAAATGCAACCATATTCACACAGTACGTCGGATTCTCTTTAGTCACATACATGTTTAATTTTTCCCGTCGACATAAACACCAACGTAGAACTTTGCACTTAAGTACAGCAGTTCAAGTTGTCATGCCACATTGACACAGGGATATAATTGTCAATTCAAATCCCATAGTAGTAGAGGTAGTAAAAGTATTAGATGTAATCGGAGAGATTAGGGTTTGAAGATGTTATTCAAGAAGTATAATTCAGTGAGATAAATTTAGAAAGAGAAAGATAGAGGTGATGAGGAATTCAGAAGGTTTGAATTAGAGAGAACACAAAGAGTGGATGCACCTGCGCCATTGCAAACGATTCCCAGCCATGTCGTTCAATGTCTCTAACAATTGGTGACTTTCGTCTCGCGGACCCCAACCAGATAGCCTACATGACTCAGTCCACTTGTCAGTAGCTGCTACCTTGACGTGGTGGTCGGGCTTGCCTATCGTGATGACCCAACCGAACTACACTGGCTGGAACATATGTTCCTGAAGGTTCTACCATGCCAGGAAGGTTGATTTGAGAACGATCAAACTAAAAGCAGCTACTCAACGTCTGAGGGCGAAGTCGTGCTGCTGACTGTGTTGGGGATGTTAGATCCCCAAAATTCGCTTGATAATGCCGTATTTTGGTTTTCACGTTTCGCCAGCATGGGCTGATCAGATGACCTTGAGATTTCAATTCCCACCAGCAAAATCAATGGCTGTGATTGGCTGCAGTGTATTTTAGTATGCTATTTTCTTAACTGTCTCAAGGACGTTGTTATGTTGTATAAATAAACGAGAGTTGTATGCTTGATTGTACTGGATTGCGCGGTGTTGTAGAATATACTTCTACGCTTACCAAGACTTCTGTTTTACCGTTGGATTCAAGGTAGCCTCCCTGGAAGCTGGTAAAAGTATCGTTCGCGTTTATCGACTAAGGTAAACTCGTAATAGCATCGAGCATACTAAGTGAGAAACGTATCAGACTGTGATGGAGTGGTGTGACAGCAGTAAGGTGTTTCCCTCGGACAACCAGCATATGCAGAGATGCTGCCTTCTCGCGAGGAGGGAAGGGTTAGAAATGGTCGACCCTAAAAATCTCACACCTCACCCTACCTCACGGATTTCCGTCTCCCTTGGTAAGGGCTTTCAAGAGCGGAGCTAATACTCAAAACACCTCACATTAAAAGGCCGTGCATGACCAGCCTCAAGCAGTTGTCCCTTGGGCTCTGTGGTCACGCAACCAGGTCTCTAAGAGCGACACTAATCTACCTTTCTTCTCAGGTTCCCCAAGAAACAACCTTCCACGGTGTAGGCAGCCGGGAAATGACAACCGCCCTCAAACCCGTAACAGCACACGAGACCAAATTGATCAAAATCAAATCCTTCCTACACCCCTTAGTACCTCACTTATCTCCACGACTAACTCTACTCACATTCCTTAAATGTTAAACTCACTAACCGAAATGTAGAAGAATGATAAATTCACAAAGCCATTATATCCTTTCACATTATAGAGGAGCTTGAAAGAGAGTGATTATAATGAACAATTCCTCCGATAACGTAAACAACTTAATACAATACTGATGTATAGATCACAGGCATCGAAACAATTTAGTCGAATGATGAGTGTAACACGAGACCAACACTTCTAAACTCTAATCTCCCTTCTTCCTTGCAAATATAAGCTTAGCCAATATCAGAAGAATGTGGTGTGTTTTTTTTTCTCCAATAAACCAACAATATATATATATATATTCATTGAATAATCAATATAGAAATAACAACTGAACCAAAAAGTTATTTAGAAAGAAGATGAGCCATTGAGATAAATGACAACTTCACAAGCTATTCACAGATCTTGGTCAACAGTATATCACATCAACATTGAACAGAAAATATAATAGTTTGATTACAAGAAATATTAACAAACACGTCCGTTAATTTATAACTGAAGATCAATAACATAAAATTGTACTGTCTGATTGATTACTCACCATAAATATTAAATATCTATCAACATTTATTAAACAAATAGTCTAAACTGGAAACAATTTACCCTGTATAAATATTTGTGAAATTGTAATTCATATATTCAGAAAGATGCAAATAAACGAGGTTCTCTCTAAAACACTCAGAATACTCTAAACTTGGCATTCAGCTGTGAGTTTCTATTTTTTTTCCTGTGCTTTAGAAATATGAAAGACAATGTGGTACTTCTGTTTATAGAGAGAGAGAGAGAGTCATATTATGAGAATTCAGTTCAGAGTACTTGTAATCAAGTATACGTGTACGTGACTATCTACGTCATCCATCATCATTTATCTGTGATGAAGAATTCTTAAACTGCAAAAAAATATAAATCCTAAAAATAACGAACAGAAGCATAAAATACCCATGCTAGATGTTCGAACTACAGAATGCATACAATGATTGGTTGGAGACATTTTAATTCCAATGGAATACACAGTAGGAAGTAGCATATCGAATAGAATAACGTAGACAAAACATGAAGCAGCGAAATTTTGTATTAAACCAACAAAAATATAACCAGACAATGAAAATTCATGAGAAATAGATGAGTGGTTTGGTTGAACAGGAGGAGGAGAAGAAGCAGCAGCAGTTAAGTTATGGCTAGTAATATTTGAATTAGTAAAGATATCATAGAACCATTTACCAGAGAAAACACCAGTTGGGAAAACTAATAAATACGTCAATAATATAAAGATAGCAATACAACGTTTTGTATGTGTAATACTAGATTGAGCTAAACGAAATCCCAATGTAACTGCACATATGCATTGATGCATTGTCATACCTATAGTCATACCGATAACCTAGAAGATGAAGAAAAACAAATTAAACATGAAAAAGAAAACGTGTGAATCGATAAAATTACCAGAGAAGTTGACTGGTTACATATACGGAGCAAACATATAACAAGTTAGGATCTCGAATCTTAGACAAGGCTGTGATGTTACGATGTTCGTATGTAATGATCTCAGTCAGTCAGTTGTAACGTAGAACTTCGTACGTTTGTGTACATAAGTTCATGTTGCCGTACCACATTAACACAGAGACGCAAATGTCAAATCAAATCCCATAGTGATAAAGATAGTACAGGCATTAATGGTAATGAAGAAGACTAGGCTTTGAAGATATTATTGAAGAAGTATAATTCAGTGAGATAAGGTTAGAAAGAGAAAGATAGAGATGATGAGCAATTCAGAACATTAAGATTTGAGCGAACACAAACAATAAATGCAACTGCTCCATTGCAAACGATTTTGAGCCGTCGTTCAAGGTCTCTAACCATTGGTAACTTTCGTCTCGCGGACCCCAACCATGTAGTCTACATCTACCAACATCACTCAGTCCACTTGTCAGTGACTTCATGGATTTCTGCCATGTTTTGGTTTGGCCGCCCCCTAGCTTTCTTCCAACCTACTCCTACACAGCAAAACATAGCTCGTCGAGGCAGTCAGTGGTTAGCCATACGTAACACATGTTTCAACCACCTCAACTGATGAAGTTTCACTACTTCATCTATTGATCTGCCATCCTTACCTAGTACTCGTTTCCTAACGACAGCATTACTTACTCGGTTATCCCATGGCACATGAGCAATGCTTCTAAAACATCTATGATCGAATACTAGCAACCTACGAACATCTTTTACTCTTAACGACCATGTTTCGCATCCGTATAGGAGAACGGAGCGAGCTGCTGAACAGTACACTCGTCCTTATTCGGCAAACGGATATCTCGCCTACGCCATAAACGGCGTAAATTGGCAAAAGCCAATCGAGCCTTCTGTACCCGAGTTGAGATTTCGTCAGTCACCAGGCCATCAGCACTAATGAGACTCCCCAGATAAGTGGGGCGGTCTACACGCTCGACTACTTCACTCCCTATAACTAGTTCAGGTGCCGATGAAACCCAATCTTGAAGCAACATTTCGCATTTCTAAGGTGAGAACCACATCCCGAACATGCTTGTATTGTTGCTTACAATACAATACAATTTTATAGTACAGAGTGAACTGAATTTTTGACTGCTTATACCACAACAAGTTGACAAAATGGCCAAACCAGTCTTCTGAATCCATGTTGATATTTCATCATCTAACACAGATCTATCATGGAGTGTGATGCAAAAGTGAACTGATCGATGCATATAACTAAGCCACTTCCTATCACTAGTTTAAACATTGACTTAGATCAGTTGTAAAGCAACACTTGACAATCACAGGGAGAGAAAAAGAGAAATATGACAAAAGAATTTCTAACTACTCACTTGATCAAATGAATCCAATAAACCAAAACTTATACCTTCAAAAAATGAATGAAGACTAAGTGCAAAACTTAATAAAATTGATTTTCCAAATTGATGATGTTGTTGTTGCCGCTGATGTTTAACATCAAGGTTTCGATGAGAAAATGAACGTTTTGACATTTTATTATTTGATGAGTTCATTGAATTCATTGTCGAATTATTAGATTGTACTAATAATAATAATTCAATTTCATCTTCTGTATCAGTTAAATAATTTTCATCATAATGTAATATACTACTCTTTAGTGGATATTTTTGTACATCAAATCTATAGACTTTATTTACAGCTTTTTGAAAGAACCATTCTAATGTAAATAGAAAAAATATTCCAAGACAAAAAATTGTCTCTGAAATAGGATAATGTTGAAGGAAGATAATATTATTTTTTAAAAAATTCTCCTGAACCAATCGCAGTTTAACAGCTGAACTACTATATAAACCAACAATTGAAAGTCCTATGAAAAGACCAATAGAAAAATGATTTAATACAGAGAATCCAATCTCCCATGATCGGAAAGAATGATTATTGTTAACACCATGGAAAGCGATGTAAAATGCAATCAATGAAAAAGTAGTATTTAGTAAGACTAATAAACCAGTAATGATAAACTTAATCATATGTTTAAACATTTAGCGAAATGCAGTAATATGGAATATATATCTATATATATCTTTTGAATATCGTCAGTTGTTCAACTACTTTCAAGGTAGATATATATTTGTCAGGTTTATTTGTAAAGAAACAAAGATGAGAAACTTAAAGAGACATTTGTGGTTTCTAGAGATTAACTGAATAAGTATATCGGTTTGCAGAGATTATTTAAATGAAAAGTATGAGGTGCATTCTTGAATATAATAAATGTTTGAGTTGGATACAAGTAGATATGAGTTGATTTTTAAACATATGAAGATTAGCTGAGATGACCTATAACACAAAAGACAGAAAAAAAAACATAAGTTATAGTCTTTAAAAAACATTTTTATACGGTCAATTTACAAGACAAAAGTTAAGGGATAAATTAAATGAGCAATAAAAGAGACAGTTTAACCATACTTTAGAGATAATTAATCATATTAACTGATATTTTGGAACAATGTAGGGAATAAGAATTTTGAACCGATAAACTAATCTTTCAGTGAAAGATACATTCTGCTGAAGTGTAATTTAGACAATTACTGACCAAAATAATCGTTATTGTCGAAATCATTTTAATCAAACAAATTAGGACCTATAGAATTTTTAAATGAACTACGAGACGGTGGAGTGACACTGAATATGTTCCGGTAAATGAAGCTTGTCCACATCACCTGCTTCCTTAACGTTTCGGCCCGTCAGCCCTGGCTGTGTTAATCTATAGAGTCTGTTTTCCGCTGAAGACCCAGTTTGGCCTTTAGCATTTGCCAACACGATACCAAGTCAGGTCATATGCAACATGGGGCCTCACAAATGCTTCGAATCAAGTTGCTATACCACAATAACACGGAGATAAAACTATTTTAAGGTAAGTTACAGAGTAGCAGTAGTATCAGTAATATATGGTAGGAAAGATTAGGTTTCAAGAAATCGTAAGATTTCGTGACTTATGTTTTACAGAAAGGCGAGGGTTGAATGCATCTGCATCATTGTGATCAATGCTAAGTCACGTCACCTAATTTTTTTAACTATAAGTTACAATAATCAAGCGAATTCTAAATAGGTAGTCTACAATTAATAATATGATTTTGCTTAATCGTCAGTGAAACACAGGTCTGATGGAGTTAATACCACTTCTTTCGGAAAGAGATTCCCAGTTGTTGATCACTGAATGAGAAAAACAGAATCGCGTACTTAGTTAACCTGGTTCAAGTTTTTAAATCCTTTTACAAAGGCCTGACAGATGATTAACCATATGGAGGGAAAATATATTAACAAATTATCTAGCGCAAAGAATGCCATCATAAAGTCAAATCGCGTTTGATTAGAAGGAGAAAAAGTTTCAGTGGGAAATACGGGAAGGTCTGTAACAACCTCACTATTTGTACGTCGGACTCCATCGAATATGTCAACATCCTTAATAAGACACAGATTAGATGCTTGAATGTAGTAATTAAGGTGAGGTTGTTTTGTTCATGCACTTCAGGGATGTTATGTTTCATTGATTGTACACTGGTATCTACCTCCATGTCCAAGGTGCATTAGCATACTATCACTAAAATTGATCTTTAAACTACAAATTTGGGAATAACGAACTCGTTCAGATCAGCTTATATAGAGGGATTGTTAGAATTACTTTTTTCTTGTTCTTCGGACTTTCATATCATCTACGAATCGGTCTATCGTTGACATAATTAGACCTGGTGAGTCACTGACATAGAATAATAGTAAGAAGGGACCTATAGAAGGATCTTGTGACACGAATAACATGATGGTGTCTAATCAACAAATCCGTAGTATATTACATCGACAACAATGAATAAACACGTGCATCTTTAGGATGATGGTTTCTTAGTTCTCTAACTTCCAAATCCATATAATAGAACAGTCTTGACGTTCATGTTAAATTGTTTTACTAGCAGTGCATGTAATATTAAATGAAGCTGATATTCACTTAAACATGTAAATTTCAACTAAATCTAATGTTATAAACCAAGTTAACCGACCTGTCAATTTCCCGCAGAAGGCCTTGTAACTTACAGATTTCCAATTTCCAATATCCAATATCTTTTTCACGATCAAGCATAAAACAATTGATTACTTTGCTTTCGATTCTTGTTCTTTCAGTACGGTTCCAGGTATTCGGTAGTTTCCAACGAATGGGAGTCTAGCCACTCGATTGTCTAATTCTAGTCATTTGGCAATCGGTTGTGAGTTTGTGTCTCGGATTTGAATGGAGACGTTTGTTTCAGGGCAGTAGGGTATCTGGATACCAGCACATATTACATTACCAGACCGGAGATCAGTTAGTTGCAATATAGAGAGTAATAAGGGTAATAAGGATAAAATTCTGATGATAATATGAATAAAATTTCAGAACTAAGTAATATATAGATGATTTAGTTTAATAATTGGTAGTTATGTTTGTGAGAGAGGACCGAAGTGTAAGCAAGCGAGAGGAAACAAAGATAATAGGCGAGATAGGTTCAGTAAGTGGTCTGAGGAGATGGCAATGATAACAACTAGCAGGTCTCAATATATGCATCATGAACAGCTTGTCCAAGGGGGAGATGATAGTCCGTATGTGAGTACGTGATTATCAAGTCTCTTCTTAAAGCTGTCTACTGAGGGGGTTGTGGTCACCTCGGCTGGGATAGCGTTCAAAGTTGCGACGACTCGCAATGAGAAAAAGTGTGCACGAACCTGAGTATTCGCTCTTTGATGTACAATCCTTCGAGTATTGCCTCGAGGGGAGTGGTGGTGTTGCATCGGTAAAATGCTCATGTTGGGATGGTTTGGCGTGCCTAATATGTTGTACGCCATATTCAGGTCACCTCTAATCCTCCTGTAACTCAGTGGAAATAATCTCAAGTGCTGGAGTCTATCTTCACAAGGTTTATTTTTCAACCCTTTCTCTCATTTCGTTGCTGGTCTCTGCACTTGATCCAAGAGATTTATGTCTCTTTTAAGCAGAGGGGGTGCGAGGACGTTGCGGACCTCCAGGTGTGGGCGCACATACGTCTTAAATTGTGTTAAAAATAATTCATGGGTGAAAGCACCAAGTTGTCTTCGCATAAAGTGAAGAGTTACATTTGCCTTTGCTGCATCCCATACATATTCCGGGCTCGTGTGGAGGCTTTCTTAGGTTATTAAACCTAGATCGCGCTCTGAGGAGACATTAGGGAGCAGACTTTCATTAAGGGTGTAGATCTTTTGCGTCGTGTGAGGCAGAATATACATGACGTGGCACTTCGGTTAGTTGAGTCTTACACCGTTTTTCCTCGAAGCTGATCCGAATCCTCTTCACATCTAATGGACCTCCAGATCTTCGCATCGTCTGCGTAGATCAATGCCGATGAGCTAACTGAGCTGAACAGGTCTTTAATAAATATCAGGAAGGGAAGTGGGCCTAGGATGGTCCCCTGTGAAACTCCTGATGTGGATACTCGCTAGCTCGCGTGCACTCTTTTTACCGTGGTGCGAAACTTTCTATTCTTAAGGTGGTTTCTGAAGCCAATTTCCTCAACCTCTGCGATAAGACGTGCGTGGGGTACTATGTCAAAGGATTTGCGAGGTCGAGACATATTATGTGCACCGATATTTTACGGTCCAAACAGGATGTCCAACTGTTCCATGCTATGAGAAGATTAGATGCACACGACCTGCCTTTCCGAAACCCGTGTTGAGCTTCATGGAGTATTTTATTCTTATCCATGTACTCCCTCATTTGTTCGTCCACTAGTCCTTCCATAACCCTTGATAATATTGTTAGTAGTGCGACTGGTCAGTAACCGGCTGGGTCCTTTCTATCTCTTCCTTTGAAGATTGGAGTGAGAGCAGCTTGTCTCCATTCAGCTGGGAATGGTTGTGACTCCAGTGAATGCCTGAACAGGTCACATATCGGCGAACAGAGGACTTCTGCATATTGTTTCGAGACTATGACGCGAATTACGTCACAACCTAGTGATTTATCTGAGCGTAGGGATTTTAGTTTCCTTAGTACTAAGTCAGGAGTGATACGGATGTTCCCTAAGCTGTCAGCTGGCACTGGGTTTGCGTAGTAATCTGAACATGTGGTTGCCTGGTTTAACTGCTCATTAAAGTTAGTGTTGAAGATCTCAGCCATCTATAGGTTGATGAGGTCTTTCCCGTTCGGTCCTTTGAGAGAACACAACCCTTGATTGGCAAGTTTTCCTTTGGACATGAACCTAAACAGATGCTTCGGGTTTACCTGTATTTTGGCGGCTAGCTTCACCTGAAATCGTCTCCTGTCACTTCGAACTTTGGTACTGCATCTGTTTCTCAATTCCTTGGCGACTCTAGGGAACATGTACCGTATGTTCATGACTATCTGGATCACAGCTCGTATCAAGGGCGTTCCATTTGACCTTTCCCAACAAATTCACTATTGATCTCGGCAGATCGCCAAAAGGACCTATTGTGCACCTTCCTTATTTGTACTCTACTATTGAAAATGTGGCTGTATTATACTGTTTCTGTCAGTGACATGGTGTAAATATGCTATCAGAAACTGACTCTTATACTGAATTTAACTGCTATAACATTTACAGTAAGTGTGAAAGCGTTTGTGACAATTTGATCTAGCCTTTAAACTGGCGTGACTCTTGTAACGTAGTTATTTGAGAATAAATATATTATTATTATTATTACAACAAGATATAGGATGTTGCCTTTATCTGTTCGATCACCCGCGACACCATAAGATCCACCCAAGTGTTTTTCCGTTTGACTTTGTCTAACTAATTGAGCACTGAACTCATCAACCACTTTACAGTGTCAGAGCACCAGACTTTTCGGAGTTCTAAATACTTTCTCTAAAACTCATCTTTCGCCTCGTCTGAACTGCAGCCAGTGGGAGAGGGAACAGAGGCAACAAAGAGGGAACGGTGAGTTTACCTATCTCTCCGAGTCCTCACTGTCCCGTTTAGTCGGACAGCGCTAAAGTGACTGTCTACTGGGACCAGTTCTACATTAGGCTACGCTTCTGTAAGCAGCAGTAGGGCTTCCAGATTTACGGAGCGAAAACCAAGTTGTTTCTCCATTTGGATACAGTGTAGGCGAATCGGTGATTTTGTTTGGATCCCGTATGAGAATTTCGGAGACTTTGGATATATCGACGGCTGGGATTCCAGAGTCCTAGATAAGGAAGCCTGTCGCCCTATTCCTTCCTTGTGAGAAGCCAGCATCGCTGCAGATGCTGGTTGTCCGTTGGAAACACCTCGTTGAAGTCACAACCCTCTACAATCAGCAGTACTATTTCTCCTTCAGACCTTAAGTAGCTGCTTTTATCCTCATCGTTCTCCAATCTACCTACCTTGTATAGTAGAACGTACAGAAAAATATGTTGCAGCCAATATAGCTTGGTTGGGTCATCTCGATGGTCAAGCCGGATCACCACGTCAAAGTAACGGGTTGCTTTGAGGTTAACTATTGACGGCAGGGAATTGGTGAAGCTTGGTTGCAGAAACTCGCAAAATTTATCTTAACCGTCTACATTTCCATCATTTGGGGGGCGGATAGTACTGGATGACATTCAGTGTAATCTCCGCTTTCCTTGTTTTGCAGGATGCTTAGATGATCATGCGTCACCGAGTTTGATTACCCTATCGGTGCTTTTAGGACTTCTTTGACAGCAAATCCTTGTCTGTCCTGCTTGGTGAACAGAGTAAAAGAGAATCTGTCTCCTGCCTTCAGTATGTTTTTTTTTCAGCCGGCATCCATTGGGTTTCAGTGATTCCAAGGGCCATTAGGTTGTGTGCTTTCATTAGTGCAGCAACTTAAATGGTTCTCCCGGTCTCCCACAATGTACAAACTTCCTACATGCCCGTATTGATTGCTGTTCTGTTTGCAAGAAGTGGCATTGGACTCGTAGTTTCTGAAGAAACTTGTCTTTCGTCATGAGGCTTGATAATTCTTCTAGATAATGATTAACTGACTCCCAGAGCAGAATTCGAAGGGTTTAAATGAAGTTTTGCTAAGCTGGAAACACCAAAACAATCACCAACCTGGGCAACAAATGTTCTCCACCATCTCAGAAGTCTTTCAGTTAGCTTTTGCTCTCTATGGGTTTCTATCTGCATCCTCAAATCGCCTCCTTTTTCTGGGCTTCATATCGCCAGTAACCTTAGAAAGGCTCCAGTCACATTTAGGTTGTTAATATTACCGTAAATCAAAAGAATTTCGGTAATGTTTCATATGTATTAGTAATATTTACAAATTCTCTATATTTTGATGTGAAGTGTTAGAAAGTCCGTTTGCGAAAACATTCTTGATGATCAAAATCTTATTCTTGATCAGTCCCTACTCCTCTCTTAGATCACTAATCAAAGTATTCTTATTGACATTTTCGTAAACCCACTGTATTTAAGGAATCGGTGTTACGCTGAGTCTCCCAGAAGACTGATGTATTGGTGTTGGTTTTCAAACACATGATCCTTGAAGCTGAGCTTACAATCGCCTAATTTCAACGTTGATTTCTTGGAGAAGGTTAGGAAATGTCGGCACGAGAGGCCTAATTTGGGATAACAAGGCCCAGTCATGGAGCCATGGTCTGAAATTTCTTGCATTTCATATTAACTATAGCACAAAAATTTGCCCCGCAGGATTCCTTGTAAAGGTTCTGCTGATTGTGACAGTAGGACAAATCCGGCAAGATCATGATGCCACTTAACATTATGGTCCTGGCAGAAATTTAAAGTATTGTTTATACTGTTTGACTATTCTTTGGTGTATCTAGCTCACGTCGTTGGAGCTGCGGCATAGTACTCTTGAGGTTGTTCACTTCATTTTCTGGAATCGGGATTCTGGTTCATTCTTGACCACCGGAAGATACATCGAAGGGGCATGTGGATCAGTTGTTAGTTTATCGTGCCATTTATTATCAGCACAATGAAATGTAATAGTGCGCTTATAGTTTCTTGGTTTATTGACAATAACTGCAGGTATGTTCGAACGGAATTTCGTGTGAGCTTGATCCCATTCTGCACTTAAAAGCAGCGAGGTTTATTGCGGAAAGCTTTCCTAAATCTTAATAGTGTTACGGTATAGTAGGATTTGATAGTCCAAGGAGATGTCTGAATTATTAATATACCTTAAGAAAGGGAGTTATCGAAGTATTATAATAATCCACTTGTAATAAGGGACTGTTCAGATAGATTATGGCTAACTCTGATAGCTCATAATCCACCAGCTATTTCATTTCAGATGGTGAACTTAGTAATCAGTCCTATGCAGTAGGTTTCATACACGTCCTTATCCGCGAACTCACTGGTGCATTAAACAATGAGATTGGTTTGCATCTGGTAACCTTGAAGTTGACACTCCTTTGTGTATGGATATGAATAAATCGTAAATAAAGCGTAGTTTACACATGGCTTAGGAAATGTTGATGAGAGCAGATCTGCGTGTATCTTCAGGACTTTGAATTAAGCAAAGGATATCTATAGGTTCAGGATTTTCAAAATTTTTTTCATTTTGAAAGGCTCATTCTTCACAATTCTAAGGTCGCAGTACAGAAGGATGCCACGAAGGTTTTTAGGCAGAGACTGATTTGGATATCAGTAAAATGGATTAAAGTCACTCAAATACCGACATGGATAAGTTGCTATGGAAGATGTATATAACTGAGTTTGAATTAATATTCCTGGTGTAGTTTCAACTGGTTTCTTGATAAAGCGATGCAAAAGATTATTTTTAGTTTCCATTGACCTCATCAAACGAGAATAAACGGTCATCTAATCCTAGTCAGATCAAGAGGTCAATTTTTATCACTCATTAATCTGATCATTTACGTCTGTTTTCGGGTAAATACTCCTTAAGTAGATCTACTAGCTTGTTTGCAATTAGTATGCAAGTACCTGGCGTCACTTTGGAAGAGAACCTCAAGGGTTCCCTTTGTGGTTGATACAAAGTGTTACATTGACTGGTGAACTGGGTTAGTAGCGTTCAACAGGTTCCTCAGTTATCCTACGTCAATAGATATTTTCCCAAATATTCGGCACATCAGCATTGTGTTTGAAATAAGTTGGTTTACAGGATTAGTTACAAAAAAACTGCTTGACAGTATGACATCACTGTTCGGTCCTCGTAATTTAAGGTCTGATAATTACAAAAAGCCAAATAGATGACTGAAGAAATAGTCTATTCGTTTGTCCTGTTCGTTCGCAATAAGAATAAAGAGCGATTTTTGCATGAATCAAATTCTTCCAAAGTGTTTAGACTGTGTTTTTGAAGCTTTTATCTATAATGATGAATGCAACGATGAAAAAATTGATTATTTAGTACGATAGTAGATTGGCACGTGAATTATGGATGAAATTTGTTTGAAATCGCTACATTCACGAATATATATATTGGCATAGAAACAAAGCGTGGGTAGTTGAAGGTCTATCAAAATGACGTCAATCGAGTTTGGTGGAGGACCATCGCTTAGTCAACGTCAGAAGTTTTCAAATTTAGAAGAGGGAGGACATGTACCTGGGTAAAATATTTTTTCAATCTTATTGTATTTTCCTATTAACTCGACCCATGTTTATTGAATGATTGCTGAATATTAGTTAGAACTATATATCTATTATTTTAAGCTTTCATATCACTTTAAATGGGGGCCTTTAGAATAAAAAGGTAGTTCTCCATTTTCGTTCAACTACGAATGCGTAATACAACGTTGTATATCTTATTCTACTTAACAACGCAACTAACTAGTAAACCATTTTTATCAATGTATGCGCAAAAATGACTAAGAAATTTAAAGGAATAATATTTGAGGCACTATCTGTGTTTTTAACCAAGGCATAGCATCCAAAATTTTTAACTTGGAACTTGATTACCGTGATAGCTATCTTCGATAATTCAAGTAAAATCTATCCGAAATTATCACATATCGTTTTAGAAACTCATTCTAGTATACTTCTGCTTATATATCAAGCTAGCAGTGATCAAGTAGTTATATAGATGAACAGTAAAATGTAGTAAAACTGAAAAGCAGTGAATTACATCTAAATATAAATGGAAATGATGTTTACGTTAAAAAACACAAAAACTAATGCTTCTCTGGTCCAGCCAAAACAGAAAATCCAGTCAAGGATCTTTGGCCTTAGATCTCAGGATTAGTTTAAATTCAGGAAATATACTGTGTTTCTTTCTCTGTTTTTATACACGTATATAATCCTTCGAATTATGCTTGACTTGCTAGGGAAAGGACGTACATTCGTCTGTACCATTTTCGTGGCTACTTCATAGCTGTAGATATCCATCAATACATGTATTTTAAGCATTGATCAACCATCATGCAACAACTGAATGATTAGTTTTGAAGTGACGTGTAAGGTTTCAGGGAATTGTGACAAATTGTCCAGTGAGGTTGAAACTCTTCATTTTCATAGCAAGTGTAATATGATCGGAATAGAGATTTTAGTATTGCAAGCCAATGAATCATATCTCTGTGAGTTCATTGAAATTTTACACACTGTATGATATTAACTTAAATATAAATGAAAAGTATACTAAACCTAACACATCGCAAATAATTAGGTCAACTAATTGTTAGTGCGATTCTGTCGTCATAAAAAAAATTAATGGGTGAATTGTAGAGGCAGTGTTTGACATTAGAGGAGAGTTTTTTGATGATATAGATAAACATTAATGGTGTCGTGTAAGTGTATATTTGCAAACATGATAAAACAGATTTTAAGACCAAAGGAGTGTATCACATTTATTAATCAAGTCTCTTACTCTGTGGTACAGTAAGCCAGTCAGAATGAGTCAGATGTAAAGCTTATTTAACAGCTAGAAATTGTCCTTAAGGACAAATACATACCACTGGTCAAAAAGAAGATCTCTTTTATTAGAAAAGAGCTCTCATTGCAACCACATCTTAGGACTTGAGTATCACAGTGTTGTATATTTTAACTTTAGTTGCTTAAACATCAAATGTTGAATCACATAAAATCATTGTATGAGAATATATAGAGTAGTAATAATGTATCGTGAAATGTAACCGTGAATTTGGTAGCTTTGATATAACGTCTGTTGATGGCCCGTAAAATCTCATTTTTACAGTTCTATGCACATAAAAGTTGGTTATATCTACTCGGTACATGGGCCAATTTGAAAATCATCTGTAAATTATTATAATAGCGAGCCACTTCAATTCTAAAAGCATTTTAACCTTGATCATTGAACTTATTTTCAAATAATCTAAGAAGATTTAGTAATCTGATTTAGAGTTTTTCGAAACTATATTCTAGATCATGCTGCGTATGCCTAACCACCGACTGCCGCGACGAGCTTTGTTTTGTAGTGTAGGAATAGGTTAGAAGAAAGCTAGGGGTGGCCAAACCAAAACATGGCAGATATCCATGAAGTCATTGACAAGTGGACTGAGACATGTCGGTAGTTGTCGACTACCTGGTTTGAGTCTGCGAGATGATAATAATCGATGGTTAGAGACCTTGAATGACATGACTCAAAATCGTTTGCAATGGCGCCGCTGCATTTATTCTCTGTGTTCTCTCAAATCCTAATCTTCTGGATTCTTCAACACCTCTAGTTCTATCTTACTAATCTATCTCTCTGAATCATACTTCTTGAATAATATCTTCTAATCCTAACCTCTTCGATTACTTCTAATACCTTTACTACCTCTTTTACTATTGGATTTGAATTGACAATTACATCTCTGTGCTGATGTGGTATGTCAACATGAACTGATGTACTTACGTACGAAGTTCTACGTTGCATCTGACTGTTTTTCAATAAATGTCGACTTAGTTCTCAGTGAACTCCTGAACCGATCAATATTAGATCACCATTGAAAACCCATACAGCTGTCTCATCCTAGAATGGGTCTTTTCATCAGTGTGCATACATATTCGCACACGAGAGTCGAGTCCTAAGCCTGAGACTTCATGCTTAAATGCTCATTCTATGGACCGTTTAGACGACGTCAAACTGTGTTAGTGTTTAACTCCAGTCAATATGCAGTATTGTACAACCAACCATTTAGTTGGAAACTATCTCTCATCTGATTTGTTTAAACTTCACTAATCCCTACTTTTATTCACCAGAATTTCCTTTTTAAAGCAAGCTAGTGATCATATAATAATTGTTAATAAGATTGCTGAATTTCAATGAACTTACTAATTGTCAATATTCTTTCTATGTTCATTTAACTTTTAGATACATGGGATTTTGTCCACAATTTAAATATAGATATGGTCATAGTTTTGGAAAAGAGACAGCAGATATAGCTAAAGTAAATTTTAATTTTATTCGTTTAGAACGAACTTTGTTCTTCCTTTTTTTCTCCTCAAAATAAATAGGATCTTCCATATCATTTTGGTCCACGTGATCAAGTGAGTATGAATGGTTTATTTTTGTTAATTTTAAACTTCTAATTTCATCAGCATCATGCAAATCTTTATCCTATTTATAATGCCAATGATAAATTTGATTATTTAAGATCCAGTTTTCAAGAGAATGATGATCATGTGAAACTTTTGCCGAAACCAACAGGAGACAATAAATATATGGAAAGAATGATGTCTGGTTATTCTGGTATGTTTGTACAATGACTGTTTATTTTGCTAGGTGATGTACCTCATATGCAATTCAAATTTGGTCATACATATCAAAGTCTGGCTGATGAATGTGTTGATCAATTAGTCAGAGAATATAAATATGCCGAATTAAAACAAAAACAACTAAATGAATCAGCTAATTTATCAACTAATCTATATCCTATAAGCAAAGATCCTTTAGTTAAAAATCGTTTAAATCTATGGGCAGATGATATGAGTTTGAAAAAATCATCAACTGAATTACCAATTACAGGTTATAAAGGTTTTATTCCACGTATGGAGACAACAGAAACTGGTCTGGCAAAACGTTTTCATAATGCAGCTCAAGATAGTTTAGAAACATTTAGATCGGAATTAAAAAATCATTTTGATTATTTGAATACACCAGTGACTAGAATAGACACGTGAGTTTAATCATTTCCTTTCTATTTTTTTTCCTGTTTTCATTACGGAATGATGATATTTTACGCACTGACTTTCACCAGTTACCCCCAATAAAGCACAGGCCGCCGACTAGCGAATTAATGTTTGGATTAGGGCGAGATATTTTCCTACATTGTAGGGTCGCAAAGCCCATGCCCAACTCTTCTCTTTTGTCCGGGACCGGCAGTAGCACTAGAGAACCAGTGTTCCCATCGTGGTAAGGTCGCCGATAATCGGAATCTTATCTATTACCGCTAATACTTGCACTGTTGGGGATGTTAGATCCCCAAAACTCGCTTGATAAATGCCTTATTTTGGATTTCACGTTTGCGAGCATGAGCTGATCAGTTGATCTTGAGATTTGATTTCCCACCAGGAAAATCCATGGCTCGTTCGCGTTTATCGACTAAGGTGAACTCGTCGTAATAGTTTCAAGCGTACCTAGTGACGAACCCTACATCCACTTTCACTACCTTTATGGGATATCAACTGATAGTTGCGTCTCTGTGCTAATGCGATATGGCAACTTGAAGTTTTACGTTGTAACTGACTGACTGAGTGATTGAGTAGCCTCAGAGGGGCTCCAAGCTGAGTTAATGATATATTTTAGCTTCCAATTAAAAAAATCGTGATAAAAATGAGATTAGAAGAGAATAAAGATAACGAATAGATCAGAACATTTCTCCACCTATGAAAAGTAACTGAATAAGTAAGTCTGAATAAGAAAAAGGATTCTCTGATAGGAATATTATTAGTTTAAAGGCAGAGTAGTTAGTCCCTATGACTGAATATAGATAGTAATGTTTTGGAGATTGAAATTTAAGTCGAAGCTCGCGAGGTAGGTTGAGTGTGTGTGTTTGTGTGTTTGGAAAGCACGTTTCAGTAAACTTAAATATTCGACATAAGTAATTTTTATACAAAAACTTAATGAGGCTGATTTTATAATTCATATCCTGTAACCAAATTTTACCAGTGTGTTTAACAATGAGAAAAGATACATTTTTATTGTCTGCTTTGATCTGATCATTGGAGTTGATTTGTTCTGATTTTGAGATAATGGAGAAGATTTGTAGCTCAGGTGGATGATTGTGGTGCTGGTGGTGTTTGGTTCTCTGAGCTGGATGCGTTTTGGTTGTGGAGCTTTCATTGCTGTTCAATTGTGCAACATCATCAGCGCAAACAAACTTCAGACAGAAGTGAAGCATTTGAATTTCTCCATGTTTGACCTGTAGCTTGTTCTGTTAACCTCGATCTTGATTGGTTGCTGTGGTTGTTTTGATTGGATACTTTGATAAATGTCCAACACTAATTCGCGTTCATCTTATTGGCGGTATATTATTTAAATTATTTGTTTTAAACAAACTGATCAATGGGTGGTTTTCATGATCATTATTAACATGGTATTAACAGAATAATCTTGAGGGCATTATTCTAACTTAAAGATTTGAATTAAGCATAAATACTCAAAACTATGAGTATCATATTTATTTATTCAAAAAATATGGTTTTATTATGCAATTTACTTTTACAAACTTTATATGTTAATGTGTTAAAGCATCAGTCATACGTTTGAAAAATATATTAGTAAATAAATGTTTACGTAACTGATAGAAAAACCATGTTGAGCGGAAATGCACGAGTCTAATGAAAATAGATTGTTCGCTTTGCTTGTTATATTGAATAAGGCAAATGCTAAGGACAAATAAAGTTTTTGAAGAATAAATCAAACTACAATATGAAATGTTGTAAAGAGGAACTAACAAGATAGTGAAATCAAATGATCGAACATTCACCCTTTCGGTGTTTTTTTATTGAAACAAACTTAAACTACCGAGTATTTACAAGTAGTATAAGATTTTATACAAAATAATAAAAATGATCTCAATGGAGAGGAAACTAAGTACTTTGGACATTAGTTGGAAACAGATCATGAAAGCAATAACTTCAGCACATCATGAGGTTCTAGGCCACAAGAATAACCGTTACAAGGAATGGATCTCTGTTGTTACACAGGATAATATTCAAGAAAGGGAAAACAAAAAGACAGAAATCCGTATCAGCCGAAAAAGAGCAGAGAAAGTCAAGTCACCAGCTGAATACAGAGAAGCAAACAAGCAAATGAAAAGGAGTATCAGAGCTGACAACGTAAATATGTAGAAGATCTAGTGATGGAGGGCAGAAAAGGCTGGAAGAGATGGAAACCTGAGACAACTATACAATACAACAAAAAAGCTCGTTGGAAAATATGGTGAACCAGAACGACCAGGGAAGAACATGGAAGGCAAATCAATCACCAATTTTGAAGAAGATGGGGTAGAGGAACACTTTGAAGAACTAGTGGATATTAAGCAAAAGTTTCATTGTAGTCTGAATATCCTAATTTTAAAATGACATTTTGAATATATTCTTCATTCAGTGAACTTCCTCCTTTGATTAGTTTGCGTTTGGCAGAAAAGTATGATGTCTTGTGTGTTGGAGAAGTATGAGTAGCAGCGTGTAAAGTTATCTGGAAGAGGAAAGAATAACAGAAAATATTAATCAACAGCGACTAAGTAATCACATGTAATACAGAAAAGCAATCGATAGCAATCCAAGAAATAACACAAACATGAGATGAAGACACACTGAAAATCGAAACTCGCAGTGGGTAACCAAAGCTTACAATTCATGTTATTAAAACCTATAAATTCAATTCAGGGTGAAATATTAGATGACTATTACTGGTACATTTTTTCAAACTAGAGCGACACGAATATGTTGAATCACGCGGTCATGAAATTAATCTTCAACTTGTAAATGATAAATCAAATTTGACGCGAAAAGAAGTTTGTAATAAATTCAATTTAATGAGTATGATATATTTAAAAGTTGTTCCCTTGTTATTGTGGTTTTACAGTTCATCACAGACAAGTACAATAAGTCCATTGAAATCATATCATAATGATTATAGTGGTAGAATATTTCGTCGAGAAGGTATGATACCAGATTATGAAGGTCATGTACATGGTAAGTAAACTATTCTTGATAAAATCATTTCAATGAAACAGTCTATTCTATTCTATTCTATTGCATACATGTAGGTAATATTGATTTCATTTTTCGTGAATAGCTAAATGTCTTATACACTTTGCTTACTAACTTACTTATTTACTTATGTCTGTTTCCTCTAATAGAGCATAGGCCGTCCGACTAGCATAGCCTTCTTCAATCTACTCTATCATGGGCTGTGTTCTTTCCATTCCTGTCCCATTACCATTCATTTTTTTTCTTGAAGTCTGCTTCCAATCTTTCCTCTTTCACCTGTAGAGTCTTTCTGGGGTTACTGTCGGTCTCAAGCTCAAATAAACGATTAGAGTTGGACATTTGGTCAGCAGCCCTATCCTGTAAAAAATTTAGCTTGTAATAAAAACGCTAACCAGAAAGAATAATTGAAGCCATTTAAACTCTATCCTGAGATTTTAGAGGTCTTTATTTAGAAGAGTTATCATGCTTCATGATAAAAGCTGATTTCTTTTGGAAGTAACGAGTCCGATGCTCCTTCTAACATGAGAAGCAGCCATTAATGTCAGTACATAGAATCTTTGTACATTGTATGAGACCGGGCGAAGTAGTCATTCAAGTCGATGCCGAAATGAAAACATACAACCTGACGGTACTAGAAATCAATGACACACATTGAACGCAGGTTGGACAAAAAAGACTTACTTTAAGAGGGATGCTGTTGCACTGCCTCACTCACACACGTTACATAACAACTTTTAGTCAGCTATGCTAGGTCGCTTCTTTTTGTATATTATAGTTGTGTAAGTTCATAAAACAGTCCTGTAGTGAAGGAGAACACAGGTGGGGAAACCGGATTGTATTTAACGAGAATTGCAGAGTTACTCAGTAAAATTGGAAAACCATATCGTAAATCGTGTTAATTTGCAAAATATCAGTTCATCATATCGAACTGGACTGTTCCTGTTGCAAAACATCAATCCATCGTCATTATTCATGTGTTTCATACAAATTCCATTGTGTTCTTCTAACTCTTCCTTTCTTGATCTTCCCCCCATATTATGCTACCAGACTTTACGTTGACACTCACGTCATATACTACTTACAAGTAGCTCGCACCACTGTCCTACTATTATCAGTCAATGTTGTTTTCGTTGAGAACTACTTATTTGAAGGCATCTTTTCATTTCTGTCTATTCAACATTTATTCTACTCGCATTACTCCCATTTTCAAATGCAAAAATGTACTTTGAACGCTTACAATTTATTGATTTTATATAAAGTCCATTGTATTTATAAGTACATTTTCTTTTTTTAAAAATAAAACAATAAAATGATGTTCATACGATGTAATAATATTATTAAAATCAGCTGTTCAATTTGAATGAATGAACTACATCACTAAGTAATGAAAAAACACTTTTCCGTTACTAATGTGACATTTATTTAAACAAAATGAAAATTGAATCAACCAGTAAGATCATTTTGAACTGATTTGAATAAACATTCATCAGTGTTTAATTAATGTCAAAGCGGTTGAACTACACTCAGTCAGTCAATTAATCGATCAATAACCTTCCGGTCATATTCTGTTCACCTTGTAATACAGATTGACCTATTATTATTAATATTGATTGATTAGCTAGCCTTGTATGTTTTGTGTTTGCGAAATTATCCCTAACCCGTTTTCTTCTTGAAGAAAGAATTGTTACAAACTTTATATTATATCTTTTTAATTGTTGTGAAATAGTTTTTCTTTTCAAGCTTACTTACTTACGCCTGTTACCCCCCAAATGGAGCATAGGCCGCACACCAGTATTATCGAACCAACTCTGTCCTGGGCTGCCCTTTCCAGTTCTGTCCAATGTTTGTTCATTCCTCTCATATCTTTCTCTATTTCTTGGCCTTCCTCTTTTACTTTCACCTTGAGGGTTCCATGTGAGGGCTTGTCTTGTGATGCAGTTTGGTGCTTTTCTCAGTGTGTGTCCTATCCCCTTCCACCGCTTTTTCGTGATTTCCTCCTCCACTGGAATCTGACTTGTTCTCTCCCACAGTACGTTGTTGCTGATGGTGTCTGGCCAACGAATCCGAAGTATTTTGCGTAGACAACTGTTAATAAACAGTTGTATCTTCTGGATGATGGCTTTCGTAGTTCTCCAAGTTTCCGCTCTATAAGGTTGAACTGTCTTGACATTTGTATTGAAAATCCTGATTTTGGTAATGGTTGAAAGTTGTTTGGAGTTCCAGATATTTTTCATTTGTAGAAATACAGCCCTCGCTTTGCCAATCCGCGCCCTCACATCTGCATTGGATCCACCTTGGTTGTCGATGATGCTGCCCAGATATGTGAAGGTGTTAACGTCCTCCAAGGCAGCATCTCCATCAAGAGTGATTTGGTTGGTGCATGTTGTGTTGCATCGGAGAATTTTGCTTTTTCCTTTATGTATGTTGAGACCTATTGCTGCAGAGGCTGCTTTTTCAAGCTGGCCTATCGCTTTTAGTGTTCAATATTCCAAGACAGGTTACTTAGCATTCTGATTTTCAAATAATATGATAACGAATTTATGTGAAAAAATATCACACTACTTATATTGTATTTATTATTGAAAGTATTTGTTTTTCATTTTTCTGAAGTCGTAGACGAATAGTCTTGAATAACTTCTTGTTATAGCCAATGCGTAGTAATATTACAGATTTGTTATAATAGGATCGTGGAGGTTACAGAATGTCACTGAAGTCATGAACTGGTAAATGTTAGACCACTATTAGAAACCTGGCAATTAATGATAGCCTTTTCCTACCAGTATGGGACCCATCAGTAGTGCGCATTCATAACGCTCGCTCGTGAGAATCAAACTTAGGAGCTTCGATGTTGCGCGCGCAAACGCTTTAACTCTAGATCACTGTTTTTGTCCAACTGTAATCATTCCAAGGTATTACGCAACCTCATCCATCGTCTTCAGTAGGTGGTAACTGCCTACATCTGACAGCAGTGAACTCCACAGCTCACGACTTCGCATTAGAACTCCGAGAATTCCCTCATGAAGCTAGTCACTAGTGAGCACATTCTAGTTGTTGTTAAATTTAATTATAAAACATTATGATTTAGGTTATTAAAGTCTCATATTATATCTTCATATATTTACCAGATATCTGTGTTCGAAAATTTATTGATTGTATAAACTTGTGTAACAACAAAGGCAGCTCCCTGTTACAGTCTCAGGTGGAACAGTAAAACATCACTAGAGAAGACTAAGCGTTCATGCGCACGAGACCGATGGTCCTGGATTTCATTCCTGCGACTGGGGGTCTTGGATGTGCGCACTAACACTTATGAATCCCATACTAGTAGACACAAAATGGTCATCCAGTAGTGCTTCCACGTTTCTATCATTATGTAATCTTCTCAATTTTGCTCTTTTTTATTAAAAATCCAGGTTATCAATATCATGTCGGTAAGAATTTCAGTGATACAACACGTGATTTGGAAGTATGCGCCCATCCTTATCCATGTTATGGGGACTATTTGAAAGTAAAAGATTTAACGACAACAAAATAACTTTTCTACACCTAAAAAAAATCTAAACAAACAAACAAACAAGAAATACCTCTCTTTATTTATTTAATTTGCCTTTATTGACTATTTATTTATTGTGATATGAATTCAAGCAGATTACAACATAACAAGAGCAGCAGCGCCTAACCCTAACATGACTCTTGTCAATTCATTTTATTGATTTTTTTTTTGTATGTATGTGTGATGTAGTAGTCATTTCTTCTTTATTTTACATTTGTTTCATTTCTCATCTTCATGACATGTCATTTATTTTTTTTTAAAAAAACAGCAACCAACCAATTTTTGCCTTTTCAATTATTATTTTGTTGACAAGATGATTATTTGACGACAATCATCATCATCAAAAATAGCACTCACTGTGAACATTTCTTTTTTATGGATATTTTTTTTGACTTATGTTTTTCTTTTTTGTTAAAAATACATTCAATAAAACAATTCTTAGTTCTATTGTTGTTCAACTGTTGACTGAAGTTGACATAGAATTTATATATAATTCATGGAATGAATGTTATGTTGGGTAAAATTGTGAGAGATGATAAGTTTATGTTGAATGATTTCTACTAATGCGAAACTAATATGTCTCTATTTAGATTTTGAGATGGTGGAGAAAACTTGTAGCTCAGGTGGATGATTGTGTTGGTGGTGTTTGGTTCTCTGAGCTGGTTGTTTTGGTTGTGGAGCTTTCATTGTTGTTCTTCTGAACAACAACATCATCATCAGTGAAGCATTTGATGAGAGAAATACTTGATAGGAAGATTTTTAAAATAATCGTTGTTATGTGTAATCAGAAGTCTGAGGCACTCTGACTCAATTAAAAACGACAACATTACATTGAATACACTCTATTTGCACACCATCTTTGAGTCGTGACTTCCAACGCTCCATCCTTCTTCCATTCCTGTTGTTGCTCCCTCTACTTCCTGTTGTTACTCCATTTACTTCTTGCTTTTGCTCCATTTGCTTTCCGTTTTCCTCTTCTGACTGTGAGACTTTTTCTTTCAAGTCCCTTCTTATACTACTTATATCGTTCGTATAAGTAGCACACACCACATGATTTGTTAGAGCTCAATAAAATGTCATGTGTCATGTCATGATACAGCTGCCATACATCAAATGAATTGTGAAGTGATTGTGAGTGAGTATGAACCGCCGACAAGCATTCTCCAAACAACTCTATCCTAAACTCTCCTTTTAAGGTTCTTCCCAAGCACTATTTATACTTTTGACGTCAATGTCTCCAATTCTCAGCTCATCATCTTCCTTCGTCTTCCTGTTTTCCTTTACTCTTCTTAAGTATTCTATGTGAGGGTTTGTCTCGTTACATAGTTTCGAACAATTTCACGAGGTGCGTCCAACCTATCTTTCTGATTTCTCTAACAGCTGGAAGCTCGTTTGTTCTCTCCTGATGGTGTCTGACTAAATAATCTGGAGTATGTTTTGTAGACAACTGTTCATTAACACCTTTATCTTTTGGATTATGAATTTTCTAGTTCTCCAAGTTTCCACCCCATACAATAGAACAACTTTGATGTTTGTATAAGGGTTCGGGTTAGGGCCCTTTTTCACCTGAATTTATTGTTGTGTACGGGATAAAAACTTTACGACTTCAGTATTGAGGATGTTAGATCTCCAGAACTCGCTTAATAAATACCTTATTTTGGATTTCACGACGTTTGCGAGCATGGGCTGATCAGTCGACCTTGAGATTTCATTTCCCACCTGGAAAATTCTCGGCTGTGATTGGCTGCTGTGTATTTTAGTGTGCTACTTTCGTAACTATCCTAAGGACGTTTCTATGATGTATAAATAAACGAGAGTTGTGTGCTTGATTGTATTGGGTGTTTGTAGAATACACTTTCTACAAAGTCTTCTATTTTGCGATTTAAGATTCAAGGTAGCCTACCTGGACGCTGGTAATTAATTGTCTCGTTCGCGCTTATCGACTAAGGTGAACTCGTAATAGATTCAAGCGTACCAAGTGACGAACATAACAATCAGTGAACTCCGAATCATCTAGCTGAGTCCATTAGGACGTAGGATATTTGAGCTAAAATTTATCAGCTTTATAACTTCGATACTGACATTGACAATACTAGCATATTTAACTACGATTAGAGTGAAATAATCATAAAAATGCTTGTGAATTGATTGTGATGGAAGAATTTCTAGAAATGTTTTTATGATTTAATCCCAGAAATTCAGGTCAACTGTCTCTAATGTGGTGACTTTAAATTCAAGATTGATGCAATTAAAATTTTTGGCCAGATTTAATGAGTTTTTAAGCAATATACTTATTTCTCAACCACCTACAACAATTACGGAACAATTCTGTTGTGAATAAAGAATCAGTTGGTCAGTCAGTTACAACGTGGAACTTCGTACAGGAGAATAAGTTCAGGTTGCCATACCACATAAGCACACAGACGCAACTGTCAATTCAAATACAAGAGTGATAGCAATAATAGAAGTATTAGCAGTAATGGAGAAGATTAGGGTTCGAAGATATGATTCGAGAAGTATAATTCAGTAAGATAAATTTAGAAGGAGAAAGATAGAGGTGATGAGGAATTTATAAGGTTACGATTTAAGGGAACATAAAGAGTGGATGCACCTGCGCCATTGCAAACGATTTTGAGCCATGTCGTTCAAGGTCTCTAACAATCGATGACTTACATCTCGCGGACTCAACCAGGTAGCCTACATCTACCAACATAACTCAGTCCACTTGTTAGCGATTTCATGGATTTGCGCCATGTTTTGTTTTGGCCGCCCCTAACTTTCTTCCAACTTACTCCTACACCGTAAAACATAGCTCATCGAGGCAGTCGGTAGTTAGCCACATTTCCTAACTATATCACTACTTACTCGGTCGTCCCAGGATATACGAGCAATGCTTCGATGACATCTTTAATCGAATAATAATAACCTACGAATGTCCTCTACTCTCACCGGCCATGTTTCGCATACCTATAGTAGGACTGAGGGAACTGTTGCTCAGTAAACCCGTCCTTTGGTTAGCAAACGGATAGCTCCTCTGCGCCGTAAATGACGCAGGTTGGCGAATGCCAATCGAGCTTTCTCCATCCGTGCTGAGATTTCACCAGTCAGCAGGCCATCAGCACTGATAAGACTCCCCAGATAAGTGAATCGATCAACACTCTCGACTACTTCACTCCCTATCACTAGTTTGCGTGCTGTCGCAAGCCAATCCTGAAGCAATATTTTGTATTTCGGGGGGTGGGGAACGGCATCCGGAACATGCTTGCATTGTTGCTTAGGGTAGTCGGAAGACTGAACATTGTCAACGTCTTCACCAAATAGGACTATGTCACCAGCATACTCTATCTAAGTCAACAAGCATGCTTAAATGGTAAAATATTTATCTGAGAAATGATACGAAAGTTCTAGAACAATGGATTGACATTTAGCGTTACGTAATAATAGCGAAAATAGAGACTGTCACGTAATAAAAACTAAAAAAGGAGATGGATTATAAAGCCGAAAGAATACTTGAAGCTTAGAAAAAATTTGCGGCTGCAAAGAACTTAACAAAGTTATGAGAAACTCAATTGATTTTTTAAATTTGTAAACATAATTTATTAGAGACAAAATTCATCAGGGCTTGCTCGATTAAAATTTATCAGTGAGTGAAGCTAAATGGAATTTCTTAAAAAACGGTTTTGATCGATTGACAAAATGCTGACTACATTCTTCTCTTACGTAATCTGTAATTTGCTCAATGATAAAGTTATCATCCTGTCAATAGATTCATACTTTAATCGGCGTGTTGAAATAAAGACTCGCAATTAGCTTTCACCACTAACATGACAGAGATTGCTGAATCGCGCAACATAGTATCGATTTCAGCCAATCTGTGGTGTTTTGCAAACAGCATTCAGTGTCAGTGGTGTTTTTTTATATCAGATTGTAAATACCGCTGAAAAGTTGTAATTTGACATGGGCCAACTACTGTTCGATGATTTTTAATTTTCATCAGCTCATGATAATATTTCGTTGAAAATTGAACAGTCTTTATGAATATGCAACTGAATAGATGAGCCACAGTAGAGAATGTGAACAAAAAAGCGCACATTTTGAAATCTGCCGGATCGTTATAAATTCTACAACTAATAAGGGTCATTGAATGTACTGGGTACACTGTATTTGATTGGCAGTGATCACAAGAGAATCTTCCATGTGCTGTAGAAGTCATCGATTATTGTTATTTTCAATTAAAGTTATGGAGATTTGTGTTTTTACATATTTGAAATCATCAATCAATCATTGTTAGACTACCATTAGAAACCTGGAAGCACTGGACGACCGTTTCGGCCTGGTATGGGACTCATCAGCAGTGCTCACCCACAACTCCTGCCTCTGTCAGGATTCAAACCCGGGACCCCCGGTCTTGTGCACGAAGACCTAACCTCTGGACCACTAGGCTGGCATCCATCCAGTGCTTACAGGTTTCTAATGGTGGTCTAACAGTGATTGATTGATGATTTCAGATTATTGTTATGTTTTTCTAAAAATTTTATTCTGTTCAAGAAATAGAATACTATTAAAAAGTTTTAAAAATAACTATTGTTTATTATGGAAAGTAACTTACTGAAAATCACATCCTAAGTTGCTATCTATCTGGAATTGACTACAAACACTTACGGTCAGTCAGTCAGTCAGTTGAAACGTAGAACTTCGTACGTATGTACATAAGTTCATGTTGCCATACAACATTAGCACGGAGACGCAACTGTCAAATCAAATCCCATTATGATTGAGATAGTAGAGGTACTAATGGTAATGAAGAAGACTAGGGTTTGAATATATTATTCAAGACGTATAATTCAGTGAGATAAGGTTAGAAAGACAAAAGTAGGGGTGCTGACGAATCCAGAAGATTAGAATTTCAGAGAACACAACGAATGGATGCACCTGCACCATTGCAAACGATTTTGAGCCATGTCGTTCAAGGTCTCTAACCATTGGTGACTATCGTCTCGCGCACCCCAACCAGGCAGCCTACATCTACCAACATGACTCAGTCCATTTGTCAGTGACTTCATGGATTTGTGACATGTTTTGGTCTGACCGCCAAAGCAAACCTTTATGGACTATTGTACTACATAGGAATACACTCAATAGCTCCACTCATAAATAAACAAAATATAACCCATGTTCTCAAAGTTTTAAGTGTCAAAATTATTCCATTGAAATCATGAAACGGTAACTGTTAGAGCACCCGGAAGTACAGGACGGCAGTCAAGTACTAATATGAGACTGATCCGCAGTGCGCACTCACAACTTCTGTTCGTGAGAATCGAATCCATGGACTTTGGTCCTAAGCACGTGAACGCTTAATCCCTAGATCACTGAGCAGACATGCAACTTTAATCAATATAAGGAGTTGTGTAACCTTACCCATTATCTTCGGTAAGTAACTTCCCTA